TTCATCAATATTTCATCATATGAACTTCTATACTGCGGTGGTGTACCTGTTGGATGATATTTCAAACCTTCATCCGGTGTCCATGTCCAATATGTAGTCCTAGTAAACCAAACCTGAGGAGGATTTGTCCTTTGAACAGTAAGTGTCATTTTCACCCTGAATGATTGGATAAGCTTTCACTTGTACTGTAACTTGTGAGTTGAAAGTTTCTAATCCATCAAAGAATATACCCGCTCCATCACGTTGAACTGGAATAGTGCATAAGAATGAAGTTTGGTCTTTCCATGTTCTAGCTAATGGCGTGCCATCATCATCATTCAGTGGTCTAGTTAATGAGTCCTCGTATTCTTCTGTGCATTCATTCACTCCATCTAAATCAGAAGCTTGAAGCATACGTGTAAAGAATATGTCGCCCACTGTGGTCATCGCTTGATCGGGGAAGTTTCTGGAATCTATAGTGACCTGAAGACCTCGAAGCATTGGATTTTCTAAAACCGTTCTTTGCATTGCATTCTTCGGAAATGTTAACACAACATCTGTAACATTATGAAGAGCGTATGAGAAATCTGAGCTAATACCTTCAGGAGTGATGCAACCTCCATTTAGTGAACGAACGTCAATATGTTGAGCTGGAATCATGAATGGATCTTCCTTACTAAATAAACGTGGTATTGCTTTAACTGATTCTTCAATTAAACCGTATCCTGGTGTAATGCATTTATCCTCTAAAACTTCCATCTTTGTGCATGAAATAATAACGTCTTCAACTGTTGCGTCAGCAGATGTAGCGGCTAAGCTTGTAATTAATTTGGCAGGAAGTCCGATTTGTTGGAATTTGCGATCATATTTATAAACATGATTCATAATCTTTTCATAATTTTCATCAGTTATCTTTTCATAAACGTAATTTTGTAAATCAGCAACTCTTAACGGGTCAACCTGACAAAATACTAAAGTATCCCTGAAAACATAATATTTAAGAATGATTTCACCAAATGATTTAGGATAATCATCGAACGCCTGAAATGCTAACAAATCATTTACCGGAATAATCATATCAAAAGTGACATCAACTTCTTCATTTGCTTTCTTGAAAACTTCTGAAGGGTCAATATATTTACCACATACTGAGTTATCATATTTTTGAACATTATTATATAACGAATGAACAAACTTTTTAACTTTCCTTTCTGATTTTGGTTTATATGTTGCAAATGCGAAAGATTCACGGGCGCAATCCATCTGAAGATAACCAGCATCACCTCTTTCGGTTTCTACTTCTAATTGTTTAAAGCTTTGATTTGATGATTTGTAACCAACGAATAAACGCATGCATTTAAAAGCGGCATCACATGTGAAAGCTTTATTTGAAACTAGAGTTGCTTTAACTTTGCGTTTAATATATGTGTCACCTAATTGGTTCACATCATGAGCCGGATTTGTAATTCTTAAATGAGTTTGTTTATCATCAAAATATGGAGCATCAGAGTCATAGCATGAACTTTCAAGTTCTCTATAATATCTTTTCCATCATTCTTTGCGAATATTTCATTTATCTTTTCGAATGAATGAAATACATTTCCATTAATCGGTTTAGTGTTTGGCACTAAATAGTTAGTCGTCATTTATTATTAAATAAAAAATCAAAATTAAAAGATGAAAATGAATTTTTAATTTTAATGAAATAATCAACTATGGCTGCAGGATTCTTTAAGAAACTGTGGGATAAAGTAAAAAGAGGAGCGCATAAAGTTTGGGAAACAAGAAGAAAGGAGCAAATTGGATATTTAAGAATAAAGAAGCAATTAGTGACGTTGCTGAACAAATAGCACCTAATGTTCCGGTAAGGGAAGTATTAAATAAAGGAGATAAGGTTTATCGTCGACTACAACCGATACTAAGATAAAAATAATATTTATTTATTTTTCCACTATCTACCCCTATTTTATTAAGTATTCCTTCAGCAATTCCACCAACTGCGTTACCTGCTTGTGCTCCCATCGCCGGATTACCTGCTTTAGTACCTAATACTCCACCTATGATAGTTCCTGCCGTTTTCGCTACTGGTGCCAAAAAGTTTGCAACGGGTTTAATAATCTTTTGATGAACCCAACTTGCAGCTTTCTTAATTCCTTCCCATAATTTTTTAAAGAATCCTGCCGCCATCTCTGATTTAATATTAATTAAAAAATATATTTCATCACTTATATTCTAATTTTTTATTTAATGATAAATGAAACCGATTTTAAAAATAAATGAAACAGAGGAGGAAGAAATAAATGAAAGTGAAAATGTTCAACAAAAAATAAACGTTGTTAAACCAATTACTGAAATAAAAATTTTTTCATCTGTTGATGAATTTAATGACTATTATGCTAATAATAAAAAATTATTTGAAGAATTGACAACATGTAAATTGAATAAAATGTTTAAAGTTGAGGACAGAGTCCAAGACCCGGAGGGTCATGGATTCAAAATTTCAAAAATAAAAGGTGTTGTTAGTTTAAAATCTATTCCTCAATCAAGAATCACCTCATTAATGAAAATGATGATTTAACAAAAAGAATAGAAATTATTGAAGAGCGAATAAATCAAATTATTGATTTCATAAATCATGACTCGTTGAGCCCGGGTCCTTAAAGCTCAAGGCACAAAGTGCCCAGGACTTAAAGTCCATCACTGAGTTCAAGGTTATATTCATCAAATATTTCATTATTAAATGCAACTTCTGCTAGTTTATTTATTTTTTCAATACGATCATTTGAAAGTCTATCGTTTAATTTTTTCTGAAGTTTTTCATTTTCTAGTTCTGAAACTTTATTTGGATGATATTTAAACCCGTTAAATTCTTTTTCCTCAGTTTTGATCATTAATTTACAAAGAACTTTTGTGGTTGGAATTCGTTTAAACCATTTATCATTAATATTTGTTATAAATTCAATATCTGGAATTAATTCCCAAATTTTTGCATTTTCAATTAATTTATTATCAAATGCAAAAGCAATAGGTTTAATATTAAACTTACCTTTATAATATATACTTTCTACATAATCATCGAAATAAACATCTACTTGTTTAACATTTTCAAGAATTGGTGAAAGAACATCCATTAATTGATTGACGGTTACGAATCTTGATCCACTCATTTTCATACGAAATAAAAAAATAAATTATTCAAAAAATGTAAGACATGAATTTTTAAAGTTTATTTTTCATTCATGAATGATAATTATATCTGATTTCTTTTATTCTCTCTACATACTAGATTTGAAGAATTCAGAACTTTTACCATAATCTCCTAAATGTTTTCTTATCCCTAACGTGTGCCAGTTATTATATGAAACTGTATAAACTTTATCTTTATCTTTACACCTTTCATCACTTCCAATATATTTATATCTCAGTTTTGATTTAGCATTTTCATATTCATTAACGTTTAATAATTCACAGTCTTCCTTTTTAAATAAATGTTTAAGATATTCAGGATTTAATACTCTACGTTTATATGCTCCTAACTTAGTTCTAAAGGTTTTTCTACAAAATTTAGGAATTCCATCCTCTTTAATGTCATCAATGATTTCCATTTCATTATTTTCAATTTCTTCTTCTCGTTTATGAGGTCTTTGATTATGACTCCATTGATTCCATGAAATTAAATATTCTTTATCATTATATTTATACCTCATTAGCTTATTTTGGCTTTCATATTCATTTAATAATTCACAATCTTCATTTTTAAATTGAAGTTTAACCCATTCAGGATTTAAACAATGTTTAATTAATCGCGGAATATCTGACATCATCTATATATAGCTTCTTTTATAAAAGATAAAAAAATAAATTATTTTAAAATTAATGTTAATTTTTTAATGATTTATAAATAAATATATTTTAATGCATCGTCTATATATAGATGTAACAAAAAAAGTCACACAACCCGCACTCATCTACTACTAATAATGAAGGATTTACTCCACTCATTTATGCATCATATTTTGGTCATCTTGAAGTTGTAAAATATCTTATTTCTATTGGAGCTAATAAAGAAGCAAAGAATGATTGCGGATATAATCCACTCATTTATGCATCATGGAATGGCCATCTTGAAGTTGTAAAATATCTCATCTCTATTGGAGCTAATAAAGAAGCAAAGAGTAACGAGGGAAACAATGCACTCATTGCTGCATCAAAATGGGGTAAACTTACTGTTATTAAATATCTCATCTCTATAGGTGCTGATAAAGAAGCAAAGAATAATGAAGGATCTACTCCGCTCATTTGTGCATCAAGTAATGACAACCTTAAAGTTGTTAAATATCTTATCTCTATTGGAGCTAATAAAGAAGCAAAGGATAATAATGGAATGACTGCGCTCAACGTAGCTGACTTTAATGTTAGAAATTATCTGGACGGTGCCTGAGATAAGTAGTCTATTTCAGATTTCGCTACAAGCAAAGGATTATAATGCATTTATAATCATCTGACGTCTCTTTATAAAACTCAACAAAAATAATTATAAAATATGAAATAATCTAATAAAAAACATCGAAATTCGAGACTGTTTGTTTTAACAATTAAATGAACTGGTGATTTATCATATATTAAAATCGAAAACTCAATCCTGCTTGATACAAGAAGGAAAAGGCATTAACTTGATCCCATAATTTTTAATTTTACTCATGGGACCTTTTATTCTTTTTTAATTTGATATGTTAAATTTGAATCTTACAAAAAATCTTTTTTTTTGATTCGGTTAAATTGATTATGATCAACAATCAATAAATATTTTTTCCGGTAGAGTATTTTCATGTATTTAGTGGAAATAATAATGAAACAATGCTACATATATCAATAAATAAGCATAGTTTCAAATAAAAGAAAAAAAGGAACAATATGCTTTCAATTATTAATTCAATTTATAAAGTAAACAGTACAAACAAACATATTTCTATTTCATACACAATAACAATAAAGATATGCAAGAATTAATTCATGGATTATTAAAAAAATAATCCTAATAACTCAGGATCTGGTGCAGATGGAGTCGGATCTGGAGGGAGAGGCTGAAATGATAAAGGGCTAATATATATAGGGTTAATTTCATGAACATTTCCATTTTCATCGTAAATTGTATTTCTATCTTCGTATTTTTTCTCTTGCTTTTCTAAAGACGATATGTATTTTCTTGTTTTAACTATATCTAAAGCTGATTCAGCCTTACAAGTCGGTTTCGGCTTAGCAACTCGCCTAATAATTACTGGACGCTTTGGCATTGCTGGTTGAGTATCTACATATGAATGAATGTATGCTTCTGATTTATTCGAGGAGATAACATTTTGTATTTTCGATTGAGGTGGTTGCTGATTAAACACTGATTTGCAATTTAATGCTGCTTCAAGGAATGGATCTTCTTCAACAAATGTAGGTACACTATCACGCCTTCGTTTAATGATAGGCTTTTGTCTATACTTTTGTACTCGTGGCTCAATTTTTGGTTCAAACAAGAAACTCATTGATTTTTCTGACGGAAAATGCTATCATTGACAAAATAACGTTTTTTGAAAAGGATTTCTTATTATGGTGATTAAGCATGAATATATGACGGTCTAAAATTTATAACCGAAATTTTACTTCAAATTCAGACTTGATTTTTTTCGGATAATATTACTAGTTTAATTATATATAATGATTTTGCTACAAATGAATTTGAAAGAATTATTTTTGAAAAGTTTATTAATTTATATTATATCGTCGTAAATATACAAAATTATTAATGCTTCTATCACAGAATAATGCGTCATTACTAGATCACATGTAAAAGTTAGCATGTATCTAAATTAACAAAAAATTTCTCAATACCGGAATATGTTCACTTAGATATAAGGTTCATGGCCATAGACTTAGAGTTTCCTCACTCATAAGAGTGGAAAGCGACAATCTTCTCAGTCAATTCCTTTTGATGCAAACTTAATTCTTTGTTTTTAAACATCTACAAGAACTGGTGAATAGATCTGATTCATAACTCTTAAACCTTAATATATCCTCAGCTCCAATAATTTCGACGATTATTTTCGATTCAATTTGAAGACATTTTTCTATCCGTATCAGTCCCTGTGGAATTCGTGCTCCTCAGTTTTAAAAGTACGGAAACACATTCTTTCCCTAAACAAAAGTTACCTCGTAGTGATTTTTTATCCAGGAAAGAAACACCTTACTTTACTTATAGTATCTTTCCAATTTACTCCTCAAGATCTTAAAAATAATGTTACTAAACTCGCTGAAACACTCAAATAGAGAAAAATTATCAATTTTAATTTATAGGATTCTGTCGTGAAAAAGATTTTTAAATGTATTTTTCGATTTTCAATTGAAATTCTTGAACATTATTATCACCTACCAATGCTCATTCGTTTTGATTATATATTATGATTATGCCACTTCATATTTTACATTTTTAGATATTAAAGGTTTTCTGTTGAGAACAACTTTGCAAGATATTTTCTTTTGATAGTTTAGTAAAAATTCATTTTTGGAGAGCTTATGTTCAAGTAAAATGAAATGTAATGAATATTATAACATAAATTCTAAAGCCATTTTGCTTAATTTTATTTGAAGATCATCGATTCATTAATGTTGGTAACTGTATGTTAAATTCACTAATGTCATTATAGTAAATAACAACGTATGACATTAGATATCAAATACAACTATGTCAGAGATTGAAATTTGAATGTCGGAATTGTGAATAATGATCACAGATCAGCTCTGCATTAGAGATAAAAAAGAATTTTTTTAAATAAAGACTCTATTTATTCAAACAATTAAAACCATTTCTTGAACATTATCAGTACTTTCTTTCTTTGCGAAACGTTTCCAAACAAAGAAAGAAACAACACAAATCACAGCTATTAAAACTAAAACAATTGGAACTACAATTGCTGCTGTTTTGTTTTTGGCTTTTCCATTGTTTTGGTCAGGGCTTGTATTAGTTATTACAGGTGTTTGAGTTGGAGTTATTTTCATTGTTTCTGGTTCATTTGTTGGCTCTATTTCACTTTCTGCTCTTAATTTATGATATTTCACGAGATTTCTTCTGTTTTCCAAAGGATCTGTTTCGGTTCCTAAATATTCCAAAGGCATGTGACTTTGTTTATATCCATTTAATGTCATAGAAGCTCTCATTCCTGGATCATGCCACAGAGTTGTTAACTTCAAATTCGTGTCCAAATTTGTTGTGAAAATCACTAATTCACTATAATTTGAACAAGCCATAATAAACTCTTCTCTCCAATCACCAAGAATATCACCATGGAATAAAGGATATTCACCTGTATCATCATCGACAGGATATTGTCTATACTTATTGTTGAAATCAGAATAAGCGGAATACAACCTAGTTCCTTTATTTATTTCATAATTCCACTTAGTTAAATAACCACTATTATAAATACTTGGATTCAATGTTCCATCCCAAAAAACATTGTTTGCAGGCCAAAAAGAAATATTATCAGCAATCTTTTCATTTGTTTTTGCATTGTATAATCCCATGAAAGAAAATACTTCATAACCTTCATGATTCGGATCAAAATCTCCTGCATTTCCTCTTCCAACGTCATGAATTTCATCTCCGTAATGGATCCATTTCTTGTCACCTGTCGATGCATTGTATGAATACTCATAAATCAAGTCCGGATTGTCTTGTTGGATACCGTATCCGCTCATTGTCAAATCGTTTTTGGCGAATTTTGCAACATAAAATCTGTCACCATGACGAATTCCCATTTTTTCATGTAAATTGAATCTGATCGTTCCATTTCCATTGAAAACATAACCTATCTGGTGAATTTCATCGATACCATTGAAATCTACATCTGCAATTCTGAAATGATGACCTTCGGCGAAATTATCTACCTCAAAGAATCCGTCTGTCCAATTCCAGTCCATGCCAAAGATACCATTAGTGTAAGAATAAGCGGCCTAAACTGTTCTTCATTGCAACAATTAAAGATGGTTTGTGGTAATTTAAGAAGCCAACACCGAATTGTGGGGACATTGGACCATATTGGATAAAATAATCTGGGATTTTGCTCTTTTGTAATAATTTACCTGTCAATCCATCGACACTTGCTATCCATTGCTCGTCGTCATTGTCATTAGTGAATGTATAGCCATCTCCGAATGTGAAATTATTGGCAATTCTTATGTAGACCTCTGCTTTTCCGTCGCCATCCAAATCAAACACATTTATGCCATCGATTTGGCCAACATTGACTGTTGTTGAACCAGGCTTAATGTTATTTTTATTAATACTATTATGACCAAGGTTTAAAGTCCATAAATAAGTTCCATTATGCAAATAAGCTTCAACTGTCTGGATTTCAGTACGATCTCTTGCTAATACGAAATCTAAGTTACCATCTCCATCTAAATCACCGACCCAAACTGTTCTAAATGAGCTTCCATTTCGTATTGGAATTCTAATGCAAGGAATATCAGCAGTATTGGCTTTTAATTCATAGTAGCTGCTGTTTTCAACTTCAATACCATTAACTATTGATTCAACAAAGTATTTATAGGTTTTTGTTTTGGTATGATTTTTGTCATAAAAATGTGTTACATCTGTTATTGGTTTGGAATTCAGTTTAGGATAGTTGAGTCCTCATCAATACGATAAACATTAAATGATATGTCATCATCATCTGTTATAAGATATCTCCACGAAATAAAGGAAATTCCGTCTCCAGCACGGACTGCAACTACACCTCTGTTAAGGTTTTCGTAATATTTGTTGATTTTTGTTGTATTATATCCATATGAGTTCTTTCGATAGAATAAGAAGTTCAACATTATCAAAATTAAAAAGGTGTCAAAATGCTCAATTTTTTTGAGAGCGCAATACGATAAATTGAATTTTGACAGATTTTCTATTCACTCATTCAGCGAATTTTGTAGGAATCATACTGAGCTAGAATGTAACTTCTATTCATACTTCTCAATCATTTTCTTATTGAAGAAAAAAAATTTACCTTATTCCCTTCTGAATACATCAAACTCTTATCTAAATTGTTATCCAAATTCTTATATTTGAAAAGCTATCAATAAATGATAAACATAATCTTTTAATACTTGGTTTCGAAAATTGAATCATATTAAAATCTAATAATTCTGTCAATTGTGTTAGTTCTATTGTATATTTTCTTCTTTTCTTCGATAAGCATGTCAATTGCTTCTCCAATCTTGGTATTTAAGTCAATATTCTTCAATGAGTATGCAGTGAGACCAACAAATGCACTTGCTTCTCTTGTACTCAGCAGTTTTGTTGAATAGTTTGATGTCAATAAAAATTTCTTCTTTTGACCATCATCAACGCTGTACATCAGGCATGATAAATGCTCGAATGGAACATCTGCATATGAAGTTGGCATAAAGAAGCAATCTGTCAAAGGACCTTTAACCATGAAGTTTCCAGCTGATGAAAAAACAATTGGAGCTCCATTGATAACAGGAGCTTTAGGAAATCCATATATATTACCCCTCAAAAATTGATAAGTTGCCTTATTGGCCAATTTCTTCTTCATATCTATTCTGAAGAGTTTCATCATTTCTCTGATTGGTGCATTTGATGATATATTAACACTGACAGGAATATTTGCAAAATATTGTCCTTGTCTTAAATCATATTCTTTGCTTGCAAAATTCCTCATGCCAATAACTTCCCATAATCCTGTTTTATCGAATTTCTCATTCATTGCACTCACTGCAAGAACTAAAGAAGAAAGTGCTGCCTCTGTCAATCCATGCAAAGTTTTTCCTTTCTTATCATAAATTTGGAATTCATTATCATAGATTGTTTCAATAGCAACTGTTGAGTTTCCTGCACTATTTTTGAAGGCTGAATCAGTTGACTTGAATCTAAGAGCGTCTTTGTCAGTGAAGTAATCAGGGATAATGCACTTAACAGATTGAATTTCTTTCATGATTGGTTCAAAGCTAGAAGTTGGGAGCTTTAATTCTGGTAATTCTTTTCCAAAACTTAAACATTCAAGGAAGTTTTTGATTGTGCCACCATCATAAATACCATGAGATGCTGAAAATACAACACTGTCATCAGAAACAGCAATTGAGCCGGCTACATGAGAAGGGTTTTTCTTGAAATTGTTTTCCATATAAAATGCTTGATCAATTAATGAGGTAACATTTGATGGGATCCTATATACAGGTACATCTCGCGATTGAAATACATATTCATCACCTTCAATATGCGTATGAAGTGCAGCAAATGATTTGACAAGCTTTTCAAGAACTAAATCGACGCTCTTTTTATCTTTACACCTGAGTCCAACAGCAATATTATAATTGGTTGGTAACCATGTAGATTCAAGAGATACCATCTTCCTTCTCAACATTGCTAAAAAATAATAATATAAATCATTCAAATTATTTCAAAGATTTGAAATTTTGAGGCCTGTGAATTCACAGATTTGATGGAACTCTTCACAAATTTGGTGTGAATTCATACCCTTTCAAAAATGTTGATAGATAAACACAGTCGTTATATCATATATAAAAGTAAATAAGTCTTTTAGGGCACTACGAAAGGAGTTAATTGGCATTTATGGAAAAGATAATTTTAATTGATTGTTTGGAGTAGTATATGATGAAGGGTTTAGTGACGTTTTTTGTAACCGTAAGAATTCATGCAATATCGAGCGATTTTTGTATCATTTTTTTTAACATATGAAGTAAAAAATGTATGATTCTTACGGTTTTTATTCTTACGTTTTTGAATAAATCAAGATTTAAAAAATTTTCAAAATTGTAAGACATTTACACTCAGCCCATACATAATGAAATAAATCATTAAAAAAATTAACATTAATTTTAAAAGAAGTTATATATAGATGATGTCAGATATTCCGCAATTAATTAAACATTGTTTAAATCCTGAATGGAATCAATGGAGTCATAATCAAAGACCTCATAAACTTCTTACGAAAAATTAAAACTTAGTTATGTTTATTATTTTATTTTTTTATTTTGTATGAAATGAGCGTCAAAACTAACAACGTTAAAAAATTAGGATTCACAAACGAGGAAATAAAGGATATATTAGAGGAGGTGGGTTATGAAGTTGATAAATATTATTTAAGAAACTGTAAAAAATTCGCGGAGTTATTAAATGATTTAGATTATGATGGAAAAATGAATAAAGATGATGTTATAAATTTCTTATATCCTACATCTGAAGAAGAAAAACCTAAAGAACCTGATGTTTTCCCTGAATATTATGAAGAACAGATTAAAGATGATGAATACGATGAAATTGAAAGACTGAAAAAAATAAGAGATGAAATAGATGAAAAAATTAAGGAATTAAGAGAAGTTGAAAAATATAATGAAAATGAAGTAGAGGGTTTAATGAATATCCCAGCTTCAGAATCAGAAGTACAGAAATCTCATGAAGAAAGATATAAAAATTATGTCTCAGAATCAACACAAAATTTATTAGATGGTGAAATAGACGAAACACTTTCAGAAGAAGGTACTAAATTTATTCGTAAACATAAGTTACAATTTATTGATAATGAAGAATACCCTTGTATCTTATTTTCACCACCTTTAGATTCCGAAAAATTCAAAAAAGCTCTTAAAAACGTGACATATGCAACTAATACGATTAAGAAAGAAGATCATGATATTTACACAAATTATTATTTAAATAAATGCACAGGTGTTGATAAAGTTTTTGATTTATTAGATAAAATATCAAAAGAAACCATTGGAACCTATAAAATTTTGTGTGATTGTGGTTTCATTGTTGAAGATACCAATAATGTTTCATATGAAAGAACAGCACCGAAGGAAGATGAAGTTGAAAGGTCTATACCATTCGTTATTAAGAACATAAAAGATATGAAAACTTATAAGCATTATATTTATTCATTTATTTCAGAAAAAATGGAAGCAACCCATAAAACATCTTCTCATCATTTTATAGCTATTCATACATTCCTTTTCAAAGTTGTGAAATTAAATAAGACAGGAATTAGATTTAATGTATCAGGGTACACATTCTTGAGTAAATTAAAATGTATTCGTCACGTCGCAGATGATAAAAATTTATGTGTTCTTAATTCATTTTACGGACTTTAAAAAAATAAACTTTATTTTTATTCTTACATAAATGAACAAAAACGGAACAGCTAAAATGAATGATAATCAAATTAGAGCAGAAGGTAGAAGGTTATTTAAACGCTTCTATAACATTCCTGATGATGTTAATCCTAAAACTCGTAGAAGCTATTTAAATGAAGCAATAGATGCATATGAAGGATTTGACATTTCATCAGAAAGTGAGAGATTAGCGAGAATGTTAAATGTTAATATTGATTTCTATTATTGTGATCCTCAACCAGAAGACGTGGACATAAATAAGGTAGACTTTCCATTAGTGGAATCAACAATGATAGATCCAGAATTTGAAACAGTAAATATTTTATTAACACAGAGTCCATGTGGAAAACTTCACGCTGACAGAATAACAGACGTTGAAGCACTCACCGGCTATAAAGTTTGTCCATATTGTAAAGAAGAAGTTTATTCTATCCGTGATGATCCAGAAAGGAAAAACCAAAGAAGATTTTTAAAGCATTGTGAGAAATGTAAAGAAAATAATGGGAGATTAATTCAAGACGTTCAATTGCAAAAGACCCAGCAACCATATGCACCACATATTACGAAACAGAAGATATATCAGTGGTTATTAGCTCACAATTTGCAGGAATATTATCAACCGACAAGATATTATATTACTTTTGACTTTGAAACATTAGAGACTAAAGAAGAATTACAACTTTCTGAGTGTGCAACTTTGAACGCTTACTTAAAACCATTCATGGTATCATCAACGGTTAAATTAAATGATAAAACATATACGAGGAATTTTTGCTTAACTTCGAGTGATTCTTTTATTTCTGATTGGATTGAGTTTTTATTTTCAACCTGTTCATTAGTTGTTGAATCAAATATGAGTCAATATGAAGAATTAATGAAGTCGCAAACGGCGGGGACTTTGTCCCATACATTAAATGAAAAACAGAAGGAAGCATTTAAAGAACTTCTAGATGAGGAATTCAATAAAGTGAATATCATAGGTTTTAATTCGGGAAAGTTTGATTTAAATTTAATTCTTCGTGATTTAAACACTGCAAAATGGAAAATAAAATCAATGCTGGGTTCATCTTCACAATTTAAGCAAATCATTGTAAAGAAAACAAACGCTCCATATGAATTGAGATTTATTGACATCAGAAATTATATAGCGGGTGGGACATTAGACCAATTCACTCAAGATTTCGGAAACAATAAATCACGTGTTAAATCCTTTTTCCCTTATCAATTCATCACGTGGGAAAATTACGAAGAAGAATTATATAAAGTGGAACCATTCACGAAAGATTCATTTTATTCAGCATTAACTCAAGAAACTATATCAGATAGTGATTATCAAATATATCTCAATGATGCTAAAAACTTTAAGAATAGATTAGAATATTTTATTCATTATTGCAATAAAGATGTTGAAATTATGATTGACCCAATCGATAAAATTATTGAAGAAACATTTGTTTATAAAATTGATATGCTTCATAATCTTTCTTTATCATCGAATGCTTCAATGATTCGTTACGCTTTAGCATATAAAGACTTTAATCCTAATGAAAAATATCCTGAGGAAGAGATAGAATCAAGTTTTGAATTAACGAAAAAGTATTGGAAATATAAAATTGAATCATATAAGAAACAAGATGAAAAAGCAGAAAGAGATACTAAAAATAATGTTTCAATGGATGATTTTCAATACTATCACGATTTAATCCTTTCATCTAAATGCAAAATGTGTGGTAAAGCGTTTACATATGCTAATAAACCAACATTGGATAGAATCGATAATGAAAAACCACATACCAAAGAAAATTGTCGGTTAATGTGTTGTTATTGCAATGTCGTGAAATCAAATAAAGATGAAGATGTTCAACGTTTAAGAATCAATTTAAGAAATTACGCATTAAAAAATAATTTACCAATGACTTTAGATTCAGTTGAAGCTTATCACATTCTCCGTAATGGAATTACTGGTGGTTTATCAAATGTTCAACATAGAGTAAATCTTAAAGGAATCACGCACATTAATAAACTTTCATATAGTCCAGAAACTAAAACTGTATCAAATGAGGACACTTCCAACATCATGACTCATTTCGTTGGTGTGGATTTTAATTCATTATATCCTTCATCATTTTCATCTAATCCTCATGATTTCATTCAATATACTGACCATAAAATGTATATGCCGGGAAGATTGAATGGTGTTATCATTTGTGATACAGCAACAAAGAAAGCAAAAGCACTGGGAATAATTAAGAAGAAAAATACTTTATTCGTGGCTGAAGTAAAGGGTCACATTGATGAAAAATACATTAATGATTACATAAACTTTTTACCGATAATAAGAAACTTAGATATTATCACAGATGAAAAAACAATTGGCAGTTTTATGTATAATTACATGAAATCAAACAATCTACCAGTTGACCAGAAACAGAGGAAATTAACTCAGTTAGCATCAACACACAACCAATATCAACCATTTTCTTCTTATTATCTTTGGTATCTAATAGACAGATTTCATTTTATCATTGATGATATTCAATCAATTTTAACATTTACGAAAAACACTTGCTTTAATGAATTTGCGAACAAATTTATGAACGAAAGACAAAAGGCTGAATTAGAAGGAAATAAAGGAAAAAGTTTATTTTGCAAGATTTCGCTTAATGGATCATATGGTTACGATGCAATGAATACACAAAATTACACAAAGACTAAAATAATGAATGCACAGAAGGCACGCGTTGCATGTATGTCAAATAAGTTTAAAAACATAAGAGAAATAGGTGAAGATACATATCAAGTGATGCTCAAAGATAGATTTTATAGATGTGATACATGTTTACAAGAGGCATTCTTCACTTTAGATAACGCAAAATACTGGTATTTAGTTTTCATTTATGATTTTATGTATAAATGCATGGATGTTAATCGTTTTCATTTCATTGAAGGTGATACTGATTCATCTTATTGGGCAATCGCTGGCGATCCAAGTCTTCCTAACACTCAAGCATTTCAAGCAATTGTTACCGATAAACAATTTTATGATAAAAACATTTTCAAATTCACACCATTTGATTTCTTCTGTTTTGATGAGAAATTTAAACCTAAATTAAAGAATAAAGCTGAAGAAAAAGCACATGAGAAGAAGTTATTGGGTTTAGCAATTGAGAAACAAGGTGATAACATGGTTGCTTTATGCCCTAAGTGTTATACATCATTCAACGGTTCAATTGATGGAAGTGATTTTAAAAAGATTGCACAAAAAATGAAAGGTGTTAGTTTACGACAAAATAAACAATTAACACCTAAAAATTATTTGGATATAATAAATGATAAAGTTATTTTCGATGGTCAGAATATTAATTTACAACTTAAAAACGGGTCAATGACTCGCTTAACAATCGGTAAGACTGCATTAACAGGAGCACACACTAAGGCTGTATGTTGTGAAAATGGATGTTGTATGCCATTTATTTAATACAATTTAAAATTTTATTTTTAATAAAATGCCACAGAAGAGACAAAAGGAACCGTTAATGATGCGATTCAATATGTAAATAATGGTTTTGATATTATGATTCAAAGAGGTGGGCACCCTTAAACATTTATTTTATTTTTATATAAATGGATAACACAGATTTAAAAAATTTAATTTATGATTTAGTACTTAATCAAAATTTTCTTAATTATTATGAATTAAAATCATATCTCCAAAAACATAATAACAATATAGGTCAGGTGAGTGGGGCTTCCAGGCGCGTTGCGCCCTCTAGCCCCGAAGATGTTTAGTATAAATGAAGTTTTTATTCGGAAAATTGTTAGTCTTCTGGTGTGAATTCGGAGGACTCTTCTTGGATAGAGTCTTGTATTTCCTCCTCCTTTTCTTCCTCCTCCATTGCTTCTGGGAAGAAGCCTTCTTCTGGGTCGAAAACATTATATAATGTGTCACTTTTCACAAATTATATATGTTTTCATGTTTTGTCACTTTTCTATCACTTTTCGGGTAAAAACATTTTTATTATTATATATAAATGAATTTTACAAAACCTCCGTTACCGTTCTTTGGAAATAAGAGTAGATGTAAAGATATTATATTGAGAGAACTTAAGAAACTACCGAATGGTCTAACATTTGTAGATTTGTTCGGTGGAAGTTTCTATATATCCCATTTATGTCATACAATATTCCCAGACTCAAAGATTATATGCAATGACTTCGACAACTATATGGACCGTCTCAAACATATTCCAGACACAAACAATATATTGAAAGAGTTAAAAGAAAAGATACCTATAGGTAAGATGGAACGTATACCATTAGATAAGAAAAATATTGTGAGAGAGGTTTTGAAAAAAGCAGAATATATAGACTGGAATAGTATATCTGCTAGACTATTATATAGTGGTGCTATAAGAGTTCATGACATTGAAGCACTTATGTCAAAAGTTTTATATCTTAACTATACAAATGTTTTCAAAGAGGACATAGAAAAATATATTGAGGGTATAGAGTTTGTGAGATGTCGTTGGACAGAGTTGTATGAAAAATATAAAGACAAGGAAAATGTTTTCTTTATAGTGGACCCGCCGTTCTATAACACATGGGATTTTCAATACCAAGTAGACTGGACTTTGAGAGACTCTTTAGAAACTTTAGACGTTATACATAACCATCCATGCTTTTACTTTTCATCCGATAAAAGTGGTTTGGAAACCGTTATGAGATGGTTAGAGGACATACATGACTATGAGTTTATATATGACAAGATAGAATATGAGAGAGGTCCTATAAACTGGAGAAAGTGTCACAATAAAGAAATTTTATTAGTAAGTAAATGTGGTTTGAAATAGGACTACTTGTTTTAGTTTTTTTCCATTGTATCATTTATTTATTTGACGTGGCAGAAAAGTACAGAGAATATGAAGATGAACCAATGCCTGCAAATGTTCAGCATATGTACTCGTAAGAGATATTTTTATCTAATATTAAATGGACGCACAGAACTTAGCGAATGCACAGCAACCTGGACAACCAAACACAGAGAATATTCCAAATGAAGTTAGAATACAAACTGCAATGGCAAACTATGGTCAAGTGCCAACAGATGTACAAATGCAAACTGCCATGTCAAATGACGCTGCGTTAGGTTTGCCACCATGGTATGCAAATATGAGATGGAAAGAGTTTTATACAAACCCCGAAGTGGGATATAAACAACTTTATGCAGATGACGCGAACACAGGAGTTGACCCAGAATATGTTTTCTACCAGAGGAGAAACAGAATGTATGAGCTCCAGTTAAAGAATGCTATGGAACTCAACAGGAAACGTAAGAGACTAGGCGGACATTAGATTTTTACATATAGTAAAATGGGTTTCTTCAGTAAGATAGGAAACTTCTTTCGAAATGTTGGAAGAGGTATATGGAATGGAATAAAATCTGTCGGAAGAGGAGTATGGAACGGTGTCAAAAATATTGGTAAAAGAGTAGGTCAATTCGTTGGTATTATACCTAAAGACTCTGAACCAGAAGAACAAGCTCCTGTTATACAACAGCCTGAACCCGCACCACAGTCAAGTTGGCAACCAAATCCAACACCTCAACCGTATTAAAAAATTATATTTTTATCGTTCGATAGTAGTTGTATATGAAACTAAGTTCTAAGTAAAACGCATGGTATAATGGAATTATTCTTTTTCTTCCATCTGTAGTAAACCATACTTGAAAGTCTGAAATACTTCCACTCGGCGGTTCATATAACTTTGTAGGTTTTTCGTAAAAGTCATTCATCAGACATAAGAAAGAGTTTTGCGCACCAGAAAATGAAGCATGAACATAATAGCATCTGGGTCGAAAAATATTTTCATATGTTCCATTAGGGTTTTCGACTTCATAATAGTCCGGGTGTACTGGATATTCTGCAGGCTGATTTAACATCCTCATAAATCTATACCATGCCAAGTTGTTATATTTTGTAAAATATAAACGTTTTCTCCAAGGTCTTCTATTTTATTGATTTTAACAGTTGCATTTTTCCTGTCATAAATAATATCGAGATGGTATTCTCCTTCGTCAATGTTATACTGGTTTGCATATTCAATATAGATATCGTTTATTTTTTCTTGAAAAGCTTGAAGAGTTGTTTCTAAGTTTATAAGCAAATTAACTTGTAAAAGTTTTCCTTGTTCAAATTTCTCATACATACGTTTTTCTTTGTTATAGTATCGAACTTCAAAACCGACCGTAAATGGGAAACCATGTATGGCTTCTGAAATGAACTTCATTCTTCGAAAGCCAATAGCTTTTGTGACAGATGGGTCTCTTAACCATCTTAATGGGTAGTCAAAACGATAGCCTTCATGCTTTACGGTATCTGTCTCAAACTTTTGACCGACATTAGTAAAAAGTTCATCTAATGGTTTAGTTGTAGCAACTCTAGAATTTTCTTTTTCTATTGGAAGCATATTTTATCTATAATAAAAATGTCAAATGAAACAGCGTCTATGAGAGAAATACAACACAACCGACAACTCATTATGCAAGCTCTAAATAAGAACACAACAAACTTTTCAAACTATTCTAAGATATCTGAGTCATTGAAAGAAGGAAACTTAAAACTGACAATAAACCCTATAACAGATGAGTTTCTATTTCAAGACAATAAGAACAATACTGTCTGTATAAATCCAACAAAAGGAACTTTAAACGAGAAACCTATAAATGAACTTCTTTTGAAAGCAGATGTTGACAACAAAGCTGACAAAGAATATGTAGACGATGCAATAGCAAAAGAAGAAGAAAGAGCTAACAATGCTTATGCAACAAAAGAACATACTCATCCTGAACTAGCAGACAAAACATATGTTGACAATAAAATGTCAAGTGAAGTGACAAGAGCTGAAAACGAATATTCTAAAAAGACTCATATACATTATATTAACCAAATACCAAGTCTTAAGGAAACATTAGAGACAAAAGCAGATAAGACTCATACACATTCTATATCTGATATTACAAACTTACAAGAAACCTTAAACAGGAAAAGTGACGTTGGACATACACATACCATTGCAAACATTACAAACTTACAAGAAACCTTAAACAGGAAAAGTGACGTTGGACATACACATTCTATATCTGATATTACAAACTTACAAGAAACCTTAAACAGGAAAAGTGACGTTGGACATACACATACCATTGCAAACATTACAAACTTACAAGAAACCTTAAACAGGAAAAGTGACGTTGGACATACACATTCTATATCTGATATTACAAACTTACAAGAAACCTTAAACAGGAAAAGTGACGTTGGACATACACATACCATTGCAAACATTACAAACTTACAAGAAACCTTAAATAGGAAAAGTGACGTTGGACATACACATTCTATATCTGATATTACAAACTTACAAGAAACCTTAAACAGGAAAAGTGACGTTGGACATACACATACCATTGCAAACATTACAAACTTACAAGAAACCTTAAACAGGAAAAGTGCCGTTGGACATACACATACATCTTCTGAAATAACAGACTTAAACGTTAGCCTTGAAAATAAAGCAGATAAAACATATGTCAATGAAATATACCAAAGTTTGATAGGAACAAAAAATATTGAAACTATTGTTGGTGACTTTTCTGTCAATGAAGAAAATAAATATTTTAGATGGCAGTTGGTACAGTCCTTAAAAAATGGTACACGGTCTAAACTCATTCCGAAAAATAACAATGAAATGTATGTAAGCTATAAAAAGAATGATGGTACACAAGTTAAAGTTCCATTAGACAACAACTGCTACTTAAACTTATATGGAGACGAACAAAAGAAATATTTAAGAGTTTATGAAATGGCAGATATGACATTGCCTGACCCAGCTCCAGCACCATATTATTATGACTATGGAGATGACGACAGAACACCACATGTAGATGAACAAAAGCTAACATTATATTTAGATTATTATAGATATAAAAGATATAATGCAATAGAAAAAACGAGAATAGTATATTATTATACAGATGACAGAAATAAATATTATAGTCAAGATTTTACCTACCCTGAAAACATAAGATTATATTATAAAAAATATTCTGACACAAACCAGAAGAAACCTGAAATAGTTGCACTATATTTTAAGTTCAAAAGAGACAATCCTATAATATCTCATATGTTTGATTTAATGAACCCAGTAGGTTCTATTTATACATCTATGGATGCAAGAGGTCCTCAAGTAATGTTTGGTGTTGGTGCATGGGAACAAATATTCGACAGGTTTTTGTATTGTGCAAACTCTTCAAAGGAAACAGGTGGAAGTAAAACGATTTCAGGTGAAAATTTACCTGCACACAGTCATTACATAGATTTAAGTACATCTCAAGCAGGTTGGCATAAGCATAGATATTGGGATTGGTCAGGAATGACAAAAGGTAAAGGATATGATGTTAAAGACGACGTTAAGTTTGCTATAAATTGTTACTGGGATGACACTCAGGGAGAAGGAAACCATACACATTTCGTTTCAGGATATACGCAAACAACGGGACAAAGTAAAGAATACATGCCACCTTACATGACAGTTTACGCATGGTATAGAATTGCTTAGTCGTCATTTTCAACTTCTTTAGCATATTCGTCAGGAGTTGTCTTATATTTGTTAGGAACTGTCTTTGAAAGTATACCACCTTGAACTTTGACAAGTTTGAAACGAGGTCTGACAATAGTAGTTTTATCTTCTGCTTGCAGTGTGTACATTTTGCCATGTTTGCCTAAAACTTCATAATATTCTCTTGTATACTTTCTTCTATTTTTACGAACACGAATGTGAGTACCTGTCGAGTTCCATTGTTGTCATAGTCAATAGTATTTTCATATGGGTCGCGTTTAGGTATTTCTATTTTACTTTGTCACCTTTCTGAAGTTTGAAGCCCGGCATTCTTTCTTGTTTGTCTCTTTTGACTAAATTATTAAATATATAGTCTTTCTCTAAGTCAGGGTTGTTTTTCATTTCTTCGGGGGAGTGGTTTCCAAACCTTTTTGTTTACGGTTATTGTAAATATTTAAAACTTGTCTCATCTTTGCCTGGGAGAAGTGTCTATACTTGTCGTCATATGACATTTCATTTGCTTCACCACCTTGTGGTTGGTTTAAGTCTCTTAACATTTTTATACAACCGTCAATGACACCAAGAGCAGAATGGTTTTGGTCGACAATGAAATATTGGTTTACATTTTTTGAACGCAGATAGTTTTTTACATCATCTGATTTGAAAGAACTTTCACAGTCAGATGTCAGTTTTGTTGGATGGTATTTGTCAACAAATATTGTCAAAGCTGCTAAGATATCTAAAATAGCTTTGGACTGTAATGGTATGGCTTCACAGTATCTTGTGTTTTGACCAACAAATATTAACCAGTATGGTGGTCCATCTTCTCTATACCTCGGAATGTTTTCCAAGATATCCATAAACCAAGCATTTGGTGTTGAACTAAAGATTTTTATCATGAGTGCTTTCTTTGTCGCTTTAGAAACATAGGGGTCCTTGTTCGGATTCGTCATTTTTTACCCTGTAAGAAATGGGTTTATTTGGCGCATTAGCAGGGGTCGCATCTAGATTTTTACCCGCAGTGGGAACAATAGCCAGAGGTGTATTTGGAGTTGGAAGGAAGATTTTGAGTACATTAGGTATACTTAAAGAGAAAGCACAACCTATTATACAAACTGTACAGAAAGGTTGGGATGTAGCACGAGATGCAACAAATCTTATTCCAAATCCTGAAACAAGAGGAAAAGTTCAAGGATGGATGGACAATGTAGGAAGACAAGCAGGAAACTATTATAACAAAGCAAATGACTACTATAACCAAGCAGGACACTATATGGACCAAGGTGAAAGATTCTTTAACAGAGGATATAACCATGCACAACAGTGGGTAAACAATAACCAACCTCAAACTTGGGGAATGTAAAATTTTTTACTGAGATGAAATGAACAATGCAGCTTTAAACAGAATAACTCATGGAAGACCACCTTTTACACCACGTGTTTGTAAAGTTCTTCCTATACCTCAGGAAGTTTTAGACCGACTTAAAAAACCTAAACAACCAGTTGAAAACAAACCAAACTAAAATTTTTTACTGAGATGAAATGACCGAAGAAGTTGAAACCGTAGATTTGACACCACAAACAAAAAGTTCAGAACCATTGTCAAAACCTGTCAAAGAACTTACAGATGAAGAGAAAAATTCAATAATAGAAAGTGCCAGGTCTGGAAATACAAACCCTAACTATAAAGTCACTTTTCATAGAAATGGAACGGCTAGTATCTCAAAAAAGAAACAGACTCTCACAAATAAAATATTGAAGTCTGAAGGAGCTTTCGAGACAACAGATGGAAAAGTTTACTTCACTGACCAACAGTTCATTATAGAACATCTCATTGACTTAGAGTCGAAATATTCTAAACTTTACAACAAACACAAAAAGTTGAAAGGAAAACAAAAACAAATGGCATATGATATTTATGAAGATGTTGACGACACAACTGTTCCTGCAAGTGAAGTAAAGTCAGAGGAACCGAAAAGTGACAAAAACCGATAGAAGAAAAAAACCAAAAACTGAAGATAAACCAAAACCAAAGTTTAGTTTCCAAACTAAACCAAGTCAACCTTCATTAGCTGGTATGGGTTGGCGTCAAAGACTTATGGCAGCAGGCGGTTATGTAAAGTAAAGAAAAAAAAAACATTTTTTTATTTTTATAAAAATGCCCCCATATAGAATGGATAGAAAGTCTGCTAGAATAAAAGCAGAGTTACAAAGATATGGTTGGAGAGTTTCGAAGAATTTTAAATATAGGAAGGGAAGACCCATAAAAGTCTATGACAAATTGTCTGGTCTTCGCTACGAAATGGATTTGGAAACAGCACGTGCCAATTATCCAAACAGACTAGAGAGGTTAGAAGAAGAACGTCTTATGGACATGCCTTTCGATGTTAGTGAACCTCAAGTTGAAGGACACGACGGCTTTGCCAGATTCTACTGGAAACATGACGAACAATTGCATCCTTTGAGAAGGAAAAAAGGAAAAGGTGAAGACGCACATGCTCCCATGGAAAGAACAAGATATGCATATGAAAAGTATCGTGAAGTTAGAAGTCAAATTACATCTGGTCGAACCTTTACAGTAAACTTTGACGAAGGAAAGAACAAAGAAGGCTTCATGGGTGTACTTGCTGCAATTCAAGACGGAAATAAGAAAGGACACAATCTCAGATTGACCATAACAGATTTGGATGGTCACATTTACTATGCACATGGCAATGAACAAACAGCCGCAAAACTTCTTGACGCTTTCAAGACTACAAAGAGAGAACAAATGGTTGACTCCGACTCAGACATTTTGAATGCAATTGAAGGAATTGCAAGTGTCAAGTTCGAATGGTACCAACCTAACCCTCAAGCAGTCAGACAACATGCTGGATACTTCCCGTTCATAAATAAGTCTGACATTGACTTGACAAGGTATGGAATTTACAATTCAATTGAAACAATTGTCAACGAACCTTGCATTCTTACATGTCTCAGGAACTCTGGTCTTGTTACAGATGAGAAGATGAGGTATCTTGAGTCATGTGTGAAGACAAGGTACATTCTCAGAGGTCAATTGGCAAAAATTGCACCGTTGGCAAATGTCAATATCCGAGTCAACATACCTACAGCTAAAGGTTCTTCACATGACGACTATGTTGTTGACAAAGACTTACCATGGTTGAAGATTGTAATTGTCCACAACCACTTCATGTTGAACGAAAGTCTTACAAACCCATTCTTTGGTAAAAGTAAGTGCAACATTGTCAGAGCTGTAAACATTCTTTTCGAGAAAGGTTTGTTGGAACCAATTCCAGATGACAAGCTGACAGAAACTTTTGTACCAAAAGACGAAACAAGCTTTTCATTGTTAGCAAGACCAAAAGTTGTTCCAGACAAAGTTCTAGTACAAAAGAAGTACACAGTTCCACAAGGAGTTGGATTGTTCGGATACCAACCTGAACCAGAAGAACTTCCAATGAGGTTGCAAGAACTTCAAGATGCTATAAACAAACTTCCATTGAGACATCCAATTGACGTCAAATTGTATTGGAGAGCATCTGAGTTAGGTCAGAAGGTTTTATATGAAACAGGTTGCTTCGACGATGTTTATGAGATAACAGGAGAAGTTTCTCAGAAGATAAGAGACTCACTTGAATTTCCACAAACTGGACCAATTGGTTGCGACAAGTTCGACTCAGATGAAAAGATATACTATGTCGACCTTAACGCTGCATACATGAGGTTTGTCCAATATATTCCGACTGGAATTCCAAACGAAGATGGTGAGTTCCCGGGAAGGAATTATACAGTTGGAAAAGTCATACAACAACTGTATGATATTAGGAAAGCTTCAAACCCCAAACTTGCAATGACACTCAAATTGCTTATGAATTCGACATGGGGATATTCCATTAAGAAACCTCAAGAGATGAAGAGTAAACATTATGAGAAGGTCGACAACTTTGTTGAAAGGTTTTCTCCTTTTGTTTTGAAGTACGAATTCACTCAAGGTCAAAGTGGCTTAGTAACCACATTAAAACCTATTGTCGAACATTGGTCTTACCCTCAGTTCGCAAAAGCAGTCCTTGACAACTACAATGAGTTCTTCTCGGAAGTCAAATCGAAAGTCAAGGTTTACTATGAGAACATTGACGCACTCATGACAAACGAAGAAGGATACAACAAACTCATTGAAATGGGAATGGTCGGTGAAAAGATGGGTCAATTCAAATTGGACAAAATTTTCACCGAAGTTCATGTCCTCTCCAAGCGTAAGTACTGGGGTGTTAAAGAAGATGGTGAAATAGTTAAACATTGCATGAAGTAAAAAATTTTTATTCGAATTTGAATTTAAATGTGGGAATTCTTGGGAACGGGAAAGGCTTATTTACTTGAGGAACAGGTAAAGGTGGTGGAGGTGGTGGCAACCAGTCCATTTTATATTCCTTCCTAGCTAATTTCCGTTTAATTTCATGGTCGCCCTCGGAGTCTTTGAATCGGACAGGTCGAGTTACACCATTCTTGGTCTCAAACTCATATATAACCTGTTTGTTTGTATTTTCGTCGACTATGGCACGAGACACAAACATTGACCAAACGGACAAAAAGTGTCATTTCGGATGGTCAAGCAGCCAATCGCATTCGAGCACTTCGAAGAAGCCTTACGTTCCAAGGGAGAGGATGTCTGGTGCAAGGCAGAGGTCATGAGACTCTACGAGCAGTACATCCTCAATGCCTGGGAGGACAAATCGTCCTTGAATTGGCAATTCTACCAACTCCTCTGGGACGACCTCCTACGCAACTGGGATAACGAAAACGCCCAATTCAAAGGTCGGGAGCTAATTTTCCAAATTACCATTAATTGTGCCTACTTATCCAACTAAAAACTTAAATTTACTTGGGGTTTCCCCCTAAAATAAAATTTTTTTACTCTTAGAACCACTCGAGGTTCTCCTTACGGTTGTTGAGCTTGTCACCGTCAATGTGTCTGACCTTCGTCTTCTTACCTGGATTTGGAACCCATTGAATTGCGACAAGCTTGCCCATGGAGATTGAACCGCGATTCCGAAGGTTAAGGTTCAAGTGTCCCAAGTTGTTGAGGACTGGGGTAAGAACCTTGCCTGTCTCCTTGTTGCGGATTTGGTATGGGTAGGGTTGGGAAATTTCGTAACCGTCATCGGCAACAAGGGTTGCCCATGTAGCGGCTTCAGGAACTTCTTCTTCTTCCTCTTCTTCTTCGTGTTTCTTTTCTTCCTCTTCTTCCTCGACAATTCCTTCTTCAATTTGGTACTCACGAAGTACGGTGTTGCATGTTCTGTCCTTTCCGAGTACCTTCCAGATGGCGTCTATCTCTTCGAAGAAACGGTAGATGAGTCTGGCAAGGTTTCTGCGAAATCGTTCAGGCATTTCTCATTGGAAGCTTGGTTCATGAGGACATCGGCTTTGAGATTGGTCATCTCTGTCATAAGACTACTTTGGAGAGTCTTAATGGTGTTTGTCAGATGAGCTTTCAATTGGGCAATTTGAATTTGAATTGGGCGCTTGTCTGGCAACCTTGAAAGGACATCTTCCATTGAGTTTGGCTTCGGTGCTTGTTCGGGCATCGAAAAAATGAAGTGGTTTGAGAATGACGGTTTTACTTCAAAAAGCTGGTTATGACAGTTAAGTCATACAACAAGTTTAAAATAATATCTTGCTCTTCTTCTGAACGTTTGTTGTCTCTTCCGATAAAAGTTTCGAACATGAGAACCAAAAAACGTTTTTTGAGATTGCGGAAGAGTTCAGGCAAACGTTCATATTCTGGATATGTTGGGAGCAGTTCAAAACATCTGAGCTGACTTTCGGACAAAATTGGGACAATGTCAGAAAATTCATCTTTGGTCGGACTGCTTGAAGGTAAGTCCCTTACATGTAAGTAGCTCTGGTAAAGTCTTCTCATTTCTGCTAACTTCTGGAGTATAGCTTCGTAATTTAAGAGTTTTAATTTTAATTGTCTTATTCCTCTCTTGACATCTAAACGGTAAGTATCCATGAGGTCAAGAGTAGCTTTGGTAGCTTTAAGTGGAGCTATCTGTTCCTTGACTTCTGCAATTTTGGTTGCAATTGTGGTTTGAGCTCCTTCAAGTTCGCCGTCTATGTCGTTCTCAACACCTTCAACCATAGCTTGAAACTCTTCATCGGTCCATTGAGATTGGTGTGGGACGAATTTAACTTGCTTCATTCAAAAAATGAAAAAAATGTTTTTACTCAAAGCGTGCCATGTATATGGCTATAAGAAACTTACCAGAAGGCTTCTTCTTCACATGAGTCTTTGGCAACTTGAGTGTTGGTGTTGGAGTTGGGTCTGGAATTTCAATTCTCTCTCGAGCGCAACAACAGATGTCAGAATAACATTCCCCACTGTCTTTCTTGCCACCATAAATTGTGTATTGACCGAACTTGCATTTGCAGGAAAACCGGTCAATACAAGGTTCACAGTTGAAATAGTTGTACACAAACCTGTTGAGTACGAGTGTGAGTAAAAACATAAAAAAGTGAAGTTAAAATGAGATGTTTACTGAATTGGTTGGATGTCGCCTTCACAGGTTATGTAGAACGGCTGACCAGAGAAGTGAAGGAGACCCTTGAGAATTTGGTTCATTCTTGGGAAAGGGTTCTCTCTGTTTGGAAGTAGTATCCAAGGACGCTTGGCAAAGAACTTTCTAATGGCTTCCTTCTTTGCTTGCTTTATGTCGTCGAAGGCTGTCCCGTCTGGTATTTGAATTGGAATTCCAGTCGAAGTCTCGAGATTCAAGGCAGCCCTTCCCGTTATCCAACCGTTAACAAGCTTGCCTTTTACATTCTGCCTGAGGAAGTCTTTAACAAGCTCGTTAATTTCAATTAGGTAAATTGCCTCGTCGGTAGGTTCGACCTCGACCATTGCTACTGTCAGTAAAAGTACTGCTACTGTCAGAAAAAGTACTGCTACTGTCAGAAAAAGTACTGCTACTGTCAGTAAAAGTACTGCTAGGAGCAGAAAAAAGGAAAATTTGAGAGGGTTTTCGACGATAAAGTACTGCTACTGTCAGTAAAAGTACTACTACTGTCAGAAAAAGTACTGCTACTGTCAGTAAAAGTACTGCTAGTAGCAGGGATTTTTATCGTTGTGGTCCGACAGGACACAAACGAATGTCCGACGTCCCACCAACCGAGTCCATTCCCAAACCAGAGGAACCTAAAGAACCACAACAGTCTCCTCAGCAACCTCAGTTCCAGCAAGTACCTCCGAATTAGTACCAATTTCCACCTCAAGGTTACTACCCACCACAAGGCTTCCCGAACTACCCTCCTCAACCTATGCCTTACTTCCCCAACCCTTGGTTGTTCCAGCAAGCTCCACCCCAGCAATTCCAATCTCAATCCCAATCGAAGAGAGCCCAAGAGTTCGAAGAAGGTCTGAACCGTTTACGCAAAGATTATGCCACAGCCCCGATGGAAGACGACAGGCTTTCAGTCTCTTCCCTAAGGTCGACCAATTCGACTCGTACCACAGATTCGGTTCGTGACCGTGAAGACTACCTCAAGCAGTCTGAGAGACTCTTCATCCTACAACCATTTACAGTTGGAGCTCTCAAGAACATGCGCAATTACGAAGGTCAGACACCAGCTGGAGACCGCAAAACAGACGTGCTTACAAGAGCAGTCCAACTGGTCAAGACAAAGACTGAGATAGTCGACTTCATTCTTGCAGCTTGCCCATACAAGTAAAAAAAATAAACAATTACGAGTTAAACTTTTTATTCTTTCTTTTCTGAGTTGTTTAGAGCTGGTTTCTCTTGTAGGAACCTTTCGTACTCTTCCATGGTCATGTAATTGCGAATTTGGTACGCAATTCCAGGTTCGTTGTTTTTGAACCTTACGTATGTAACGCTTCCATCCTCCTCAGGGAAGTAAGCTGCTAACATCTGACCAAGTTTTCTCGGTGACTCGGAGCTCATAAAAATGTCACTTTTTAAACGTTAAGTTTTTAGTCTTAATTTACCCTTTGTTTGTCAAGGTAGTATTGGAGCGCAATTTCTCCAAATTCTCTGTGTCGGAGTTCTTCAGCATTTTCCAAGGTGTACCTGGGGAACTCAAAGAAGTTGTCAAGAAGATACTGCCATGCTGCTCTTCTGAGTTCGTCGGTATTTTGGAAGTGTTGCACCTTCGAGTCTTCGGACATTAAAAAAATGTCACTTTTTCTATTAAACCGTTTTGGCATTTCTCATGAGTGAGTATAGTTCTGCCGAACCATTGGAAGAGAAGAAGTACCCTTGCTGGCAAAAGACAAAAATAGTTGCCTTAGTTGTCATTGCAATTGTACTCGTAATTGAATTCATTGTACTTCTCTTCACGTACATAAAACTCAGCAATGGTATTTGCTTTAAGAAGTTACCATCTTACTAAGACTAAACACTTACATTTTTCAAGCTTGACTTTTTACAATTTGAACTTTGTTTGCGTAGATATGAATTCTGAAAGAAGTATGAGGGTCTTGTATGACTTTGTACTTCTCCCAGAGTTCATGTCTGTCAAACTTACCTGCCATGGACTCTTTCATAAGTTCCATGAAATCGTCTTCGGACAATCCAGGGAAAAGTATTATGTCAGTAAGTATTCTTTTAACATCCTTACTTAAACTCTTTGCTGTCTGTACACATATTACGACTGAGATGTTAAAGTGCCTAAGTTTCTTAAGAATTCGACACATATCTTGTTCTCTATTCTTTAACTGTTTCGTACCGAAATGGCTAACAAAAAAGTGACAGAAAACCTTAAATTACGCGGCAATTTTAATTTAAAAAATAAACATTAATTTTTGTGATTGATATTATGCATTTTATTTATATTATATAAGATTTAAATTTAGGGGAAAAATTGGAAAAAAATAAGATTGGAAGTCTTTAGGTAAGAATGAAAGGGCAAGAGATATATAGTGTACCTATATACCTCTTGCCCTTTCATTCTAAGTAGAAATGGGAGAAACTTTGTCCGCATCATAAGTTATGCGGACAAAGTTTCTCCGATTTCTAATGGGAATTGCAGGCTATGAGGCACTGATTATATATCAGTGCCTCATAGCCTACAATTCCCCTTATTAGACTTCCAAACTTTGAGTTAATGTCAAGACATTAACTCAAAGTTTGGAAAACTTCTCGTAAGAATCAATCGTCAAAAACCTCGATTGCAGTTATATTCATTGTGTTAAATTTGATTTATTTTGAAATTTTTATAAATTAAATTTTATATAACATAAAGCGTTATGAATTAGTATTTCCATATGAATTTTATCTCGAAAATAGTAATTCTGTACAGTTATATTTCGGTTAATTTTGGAAATTTCTAGGAATACTTTAAGATAGTATGATTATATATAACTCTGCCTTCATGATTTATTTTAGCTTTCGCGCAAATATCAGTTAACTTAACTCCATTATTTGATTTTGTGATGGCTTCACAAAGCCAATCAATATCAATCTCTTCTGGAGAATGTCTTCTCATCTAGAATATTTTCAATACTTTACATACAAACATTTTTATTTCTAAAAAACTTTTTAATTTTTTCTAGGATATATGAATGAAAATAGTTAGAACAAGATTTTGAAGCTCAAAACATTAAAAATTATTAAAGATTTGTATAATATGATTAAAAATGGGAAATAATATGAGGCAATATAAAGGAATATGAATATTAAATAAATATATCTAAATAGAAAGAATCAGAAAAATCAAATTATTGGCGCCAAAAATATCACCTTTTTGGTGAGCCATTTCGGTATGAGATATTCTCTATTCTTTAACAAAGGATGAGAGGCGAAATCATCTAAAATAAGAAGACACCTATGAGGGTACGTTTTCCAATCGTAAGATTGCAATTTCTTCGAAATGTATTCTATCTCTTTCTGTTTGTTTCTGAAGTGTTTCTTCTCTAATATTCTCTGCATTTCCTCATTTGGGTCTTTAAACTTCGAATTTATATACTCATTTATAGCATTATACTTCAAAACTCTTCTTTGGTACTTCTTTATCCAATCTAACAACTCAGAGTCTTTTATACATACTAACTTAGACTTCTTTATAATATCTTTGAACGAATTGACGGTTTGGTCAAATTGACCAGAAGTACTACAAATGACTACTAACTCATAGAATGGGTTCTTCTCATCTAGTTCTTGTTGTTGTGCAGCCATTTTAAGATAAGTGAAAGTCTTACCCGACCCAGGTGGTGCAATTAGACCTGTTATACCATTCTGAGCAAATAAGAACTTTTCATGTATAGGTTTTATCTGAGCATTTTCTAACTTCACCTTGTTCTTGTTTAAAACATTCTCAAATTTCTTGTTAATGTCAGCAAACTTTTTTTCTAACATATTTTTAGAAAAATTAAAATTTTTATCTTTTAGAAAATGTCTAGCGATTTCGCTATCTATATTCGAGACAAACTTTTTGACAGCAAAACATCTGTCGACCATAAAATCTTACATAGTGTAAACAAGAAAGGTGAATTTGTTCTAAAGTTCTGTTTCTGAGAATATGACAAGAACCATAAAACATTACAAAGAGCAGTCTTAAAATTTGTCAATGACAGACTTGTTGAAAGAGATGACGCCGATTGGAAAGATGAAGTCCAACAAAAGTTCTTAGAATGCAAAGAAGACACATGCGCTGTTCTTGAAGATGAAATAGAAAACAGAATAGATGAGCTATTAAAGGACACAGAACTTTTACATAAATATGGTTCGGAGAAATTTGACATAACTCCACCAGAAAAGAAGAAGAGAGAAAAGAAAGAGAAAAAAGTAGAAGAGAAGAAAGAACCTGAACCAGTTCCAGATAAGGGGAGATATGACATGTAAAAATAAAATTTTATTTTTAGAACATTTCTGGGTCAATGTCAATGTTCTCTTCCTCTTTAGGAGTAAACACTGGCTTAGACTCTAAAATCTTTTTACCCAATTTACCTTGAACTTCTACAACTTTAGACTCATAATATTCATAGTCGTCTGTCTTCTTTGGTTCATAAGGTATAACAAGTTTGTATGCTTTGCCTTCTTTAAGGTTTGAGAACCTTCTGTCAAAACTTTCTTTGACTGTTAACAAACCTTCTATGTCTAAGTCTTCAAATTTCGCACCATTTTTAGTCACAATAGCAAACTTAACTGGTTCGATGTTCCTAGGGTTGTTAAAAATATCAAAAATTAGCGTTTTGAAGACACCATGGTGTCTTATAATTTTCCCTTCCTTATTGGCGTGTAGAAATAAATGCGCCAATAGATTGAAGAAGAAGAATTGTTTTTCTCTTAATGAACTTTAATCCTTTTGATATAAGAATATTAAAAACATTAATATAATTTCGATTTCGGAAATTCAATTTCCAAATTTTTTGTCGATTTCGGAAATAACAGGATCCCGCATCCAACACGCAACAACAAAACACAAAACACACTTTTTGGTTCTTTCATCGTTTTAATCGTAATTTATGTAATACATGATTTGGAGAAATTTTACAAAAATAGAACCTATATTATATTCTTTTCAAAGATTCTTGCAAATCATCAAAAATAATTGTATTTTAAAAAACGATCAAATTATCCTTTCATTATTTTAAACTTAAATTAGTTTTTATGATTGACTAAAGCAATCATATTTATTCATCATTAAATAAACAAAAAAATAATATTTGAGAGTTATTTCAAAAAAAAAAGGCATTGAATTTATTAATTTGTCTCAATTTCAGTATTATAAATTTTTATAATTTCAATATTTTGAAATACACTTTTTAATATTTCAATATTTATGATATTTCAATGTTTTAAGTGGTCTCAAATTGAGCTTCTCAAATATAAGTTGGCCTATTCAAATAATAAAATTAAATAATATTTAAAATAATAAATAAAAGTAAGGGTTTCGTTTTGCTAAAATTGTCACTTTTATAGCATATTTGTTTTTGGATGTTTTGCGAAACCAAAAAAAAACTATGATATACAATGTGTGTGTAAAGAAAATACTTTATTTACTAGTTAAAAAATCATTTGGTATTGATCAAGTTATTTTTTCTGGATAAGATATTATATGGATAATTGAATAGAAAATACAATTATATAATCTTGTACCTGGTTTAATTAAGCTAATTGTCATCAGAAACTTGTAATTTTTATGAATTTCAGATTTTCTTTTCATTACTGCTTTTCTTAATAGGTCAAGTTCTTATTTACGTTATAAAGTATGATATTTACAAATATCAAGTTATCATGTTTTTTGAGAAATTATGAGAAACAAACAAAAATGAAAAAGATAGGAATAGCAATGAATAGTGATGTGGGTATAGAAAATGTAAGAGATATGAATGCAAAGCAATCAGTATTTAGGACATTGACCATAGATTTCGAAAAAAAAATGCTGCATATTGAGCGAAAACTATGATTATATTATAAGGCTGTCATTTAAAGCATAATGAAACTATTCCCTTTTCATTTTAATCGAATAAGATAGTAAAGATTTTTGAATTAGCTAGAAACTGATGAGATGTTTTCACAAATCAGATTTTTAATCTCTATAATGCATAATTCACTCAATATCTCAATTTTGATATTGCGAGATATTTTTGCTATCGGTTTCGCAATTTTGACACAATAGCAAGAGGGTTCTATAAGCATTATTATCAACGTAGAATCTGAATATCATATCAGAAAATGTCGCAAATCTGACATTTACCCGACCAAATAGCAAAAATAATTGAATACTTTTCGCAAAAACTTTAAAAATCGATAAAAATATGAAATATAGATATTAAAGAGACTTTTAATATAATATTGTTGTAAACAGAAATTCATCAAAAGTGACACCTCAGAAAAGCTAAAATATTGAATTTTTGGAACTTTTGATAGAGCACGTTTTTAAATATTAATTAAAGTAAATGTATATTTTGTAAAGATTCTTTTTAATAAAAAAATAAAATTTTGAAGAAGAACACAAAATCTTCTGAAAAATAATATCACATAAACTCATATTATTTCTAATATATAACTATTTTATATAAAAATCAAATTCAATGATCTTAAAAGCGAAGGATAAACCTCAAATTTACGAATATAATGAGTGGGAATATAATGGTTATCTATCATAAAACCATATGAAATATCAATTTTTGCTTTACGCCTATTCCCACTCATTATATTCGTAAATTTTGAGGTTTATCCTTCGCTTTTAAGATCATTGAATTTGATTTTTATATAAAATAGTTATATATTAGAAAATAATATGAGTTTATGTGATATTATTTTTCAGAAGATTTCATTCTATATTCCTATGAAAAGTACTCTCAAAACTAACTTTTTCCTAATTATAATTAAATCTAGAATATTGTATTATGCTTAGTATTATTTCATTTTTCTCATTCAATTTAGAATTTACAAATGTCAAAAAATTGAGAGCTGTCACTTTTGATGAATTTCTGTTTATTACAATATTCATAAAGATTTTCCAAAAATATGATACCGCAAAATTAAAAAAGTGACGTCTTGAGTGGAGTCAAAGGTCGAAATTGCTAGCTAAATGTTTTTTTAGCGAAATTGCGTATTGTACGTTTTTTTCGCAAAACGAAACCCTTAATAAAAGTGATTGAGGTCATAGCAAAACGGCTGTTTCAGTCATTAATTCTTAAAAATAAAAAGGGTAAAAACTAAATACAATGGGTAAAATTCAATAGTGTCTGTGCTATCGTTCAATTTGAAGGTGTCTTTTGAAACCGCAAGACACATTGAATTTTTGAATAGTGTATTATGGTTTGACAGACACCAATGAAAAAAATAAAATGATATTTATTTTAAATATATAAGATCCTTATATAAAATATAAATATTTTATCGTTTTATTTTCTTGTTTTAGAAATGTTTTTTATTGAAAAATCAATAAAACTGTTACATATTAAGTTCTGTCAAAATGTAAGCTATTGAATTTTTTGAGAGAGAAATAATCGTCGAGGAAGTAAAAAGTGACGCTTTAGGAAATATTATTAGAAATATGATAATAAATATATTTGGAAAAATATGTTTTTTTCAAAAATTGAAATGTTCATAGAATATTTTGAAATATGTAGGGAATTGAATTCGGTAATATATAATAAACAGGATTTTTAAATTTCAAGGAAAAATAGCTTTTTTGAATACTTTTGAGAACTCTTCTCAAAGATCATGATTCAAATATATTAAGGAGCCAAAATATTAGAGATGAGTTCACAATCAAAATTTTCTCACTTTTCTTCCAAATTGACATCCTTACTCACCACTTTCAAGTTTTTCATACATATATCTTACTCATTCATTTGGAATACGAGGTCTCGAGTTTTCGTTCATTTTTTTTACTTTACAAAACTGTTTATTTTTCAGAATTTTTAAATTTGAAAAAATCCATTCTATATCTGATAAATAATATATTATTTTTCAATCAAAATATTTTGATTATCATCTCAAAAGTGTTCTCAAAACCTAGTTTTTCTTATTTTGGATAATCTTAATATTTATATTATTATAAACTAATTGACCACCATATGTTTTTGTATACTTTTACAAAAAAATTGATAGATTTGTGATACTTCCTCCGACGATAGAATTGAATAGCTTACATTTTGACAGAACTTAATATGGAACAAAACTAACTCCAAAATAAAATTTTTGATTTAAAGACACTATGATGACACCAGGCAAATCTTCCAAGACACCTATCGTCGGGAATCTAACAACCCTAGATGTTCCAAACTTTGCTGAATGAAGACTTTTCAAAATGGTAGAAGTAAACATTCAAATATGTGAATGGGTCTAGTTCTTCTTTAAGTCCTGACATGTACTTGTTTACTGAGATGAATTTCGTCATCTTTTCTATCGGATAAAAAAATATTTTTTTAAAATTTACTCAGAAAAAATTTTCTTTGTATATACACCATTCTGAACATCTAAAAGACTTTTGACATTTGCCAAGAATGTACGTTTAGAAGCTGCCATATAACCATATTCTTGACAATATTGTTTATATTCATCATATAAAGACTTTTCATCTAATGACACAAAGTCAGTTTCATCTATGAACAGTTCATATACACTCTTGTTTGCTTCTAACAATGTTTGTCTCTCTTCGGTATGTGGAATTTGTCTTGGATTGAACTTAGAAATATCTAATGTCATGAAATATGAGAACAAGTGGTTGTAAAAGTCAGATGTCAAAGTTTCTGCTAAGTCGTCAAAATATTCTGTATCTTGCATATGAGAATCTGACGTTCTGACAACTACATATCTTCTGTCAGAACTTTCTAACTTCATCGGAACAGCATTGTTTGAAACCATAATGAAGTTTGCAACATTTTTACAAACTCTTTGGTCTTTATACTTTCTTTCAACAACTCCAACTTTATCTGTTATAAGACTCTTCAAAGCATCTGAGTTCAAAACTTTTGTTGTATCTATACTTTGAAGTTCATTGCAAACTATAAGTTTCATATTCTCTATTGAGGAGTTAAACTTGCCACAGATGTTTTCTAAGTTTGTCATATTCGGATTCGAATAACCTTCTAACAGTTTGCACAAAATATCTGTAAAGAAAGTATTCTTACCAGTTCCTTGTTTTCCAATTATAATGAGAGCAGTTTCATTTTTAGCACTTGGATGTTGTAAGATGTTTGCAAACCAACATAAGATATACTCATAAACCTTTTCGTTTCCATTGCATATAATTTCTTTGACATGGTCTAACCAAGCTTCTATAATACTGTGTTTCCATTCTACTTGTTCATATTTATATCCAGTGAAGATAGAATAGAAGTTTGGAGAAGGTGTATAGAACTTTATACTCGAACTGAAAAATCTTCTAACTTTGACAATAAGATATCCCAAGCATCTAACATCTTCATTCCAACTTGTACGACTTTTATTTTCTTAAGTTTCTGTCTACATTCTTGTTCAGACACTATTGTTGCTCTTGGTTTGTTAAAGACAACATCCCATTCTTTCATGACATAACATTCTGGGCAGAGTCAACATAAATGACTAAACGTTTCAAATTCTCGACTGCTTTGTTATAGTCTCGAAATGGACACATATTTCTGAATGCTTGGAAGTCATAAAAATCTGAAACATCTATTCTGTACATTTTTATAAAAATAAAAAAATATATTTTTTATTCTTGACTTTGTTATGTTCCATTTGTTGCATTTGTTGTTCTTGAGCTATTTGTTGTTGAAGTTGTTCTTGTAATACAATACTTTCAACCAATTGCATCTTCCAATTCGAAACTTTCTGCCGTCATTGACAAATACATAGGACATAAAAGTTTTACAGGAACAAAGTTTGCGTCAACTAATTCAACGTTATACTTGCCAAAGTGTTTGAGTTCACTAAGGTTGAAAATTCTGCATTCGAATGAACAATAGGCAAACCAGCAGAGAAAGTATTGTTTATACGCATAAGTATCTTTTGGTCATAATAGTTTCTGTCGACATTCGAATAACACTTTGAACCTAAGTTTGAAACAATATATAAGATTGGTGTGCTTAATGTCAATGGAATAGACATTCCTTGTATGACACCTTTTCCTGTTATAGGAAACTGTTGGTAGTAAAAACCAGAAATAAGTTTTGTATTATAGCTCATATCGTTTATAGTAAACTCAGTCGGACATTCCAAACATAATGAAACCTGCTCTAGTTGCAGCACATGTTACACCCGTACTTAAAGTATTAAATAAGTCAACAAAACCTGTTGGTGGTATATCTGAGTAAGTATCTTCAAAGGAGTATTTTTTACCATTCACAACAATAAAGTCTTCTGGTGTCAAAAGAGCAAAACAGGCTTTAGTCGTCATTGTGTTTAAGGTTAGTTTACAATATCGTTCTTGAGGACTTTGTAAGTTTGTTGTTATAGAATTATATGACTCAGGGTTTTTAGTCGTAATAGTATAAACCATTATGTCTTCTGCCATTTACTTAGCAATAAACTTTAATGAAATGTTGGTCGTCAAATATTTTTATAACGTCTGGGAAACTATATTTTAAGTTCAACGTTTCACCTCCTTTCATAACGTATATCTTGTCAATGGCATTATATGAAACACCACAGCAACTAATGTCGGGTTCTATTTCTTTGATGTTTATATCGTCTGCCTCTGTCAAAAGTTTCAATAGTTCTTTCAAAACTTCATGAGGTGCAATGACATATGAGTTCACTTTTACAGGGTTGTGTTCGACCAAGTTTAACATTATACTTAAAGCTTGACAAATCTTCTCCTGAGTTTGAAGTTTGTCTTTCAGTTGTTGGTAGTCGTTTCGAATATCTGCAACAGAACTTAAGTCTCTGCTAACTTCAGGATATGTTGGTTCTTTTACAGGAACAATTGTTATACCATCTTCGTCTTCGTATGGTTTCCCCACTTCAACATCTCTGTCTTTGACATTGACAACAACACTTTGACTGTTTGTTTGAGTTGGTGAATTTATCTTCACATCTGCCACCGCCATTAAACCTTTTGAAACACTTACGCTTCTATTTTTCGGAAATGGCATTTTACTTAGAATAAAAAGATGGACGTATTCGGATATCTATTGAATTGAAGCAGAACAAAGTTTATACTCACAAACAATACAAATACAGTGACAGAATAGTTCTTTACACAAACAATGGAAAATGTTATAGAATAGCAGTCTTTGCTGAACCTAAATATTTCATAAAGCAAAGAAAGTTGGTATAACTGAAATGGTGAAAGTTCTTGAAGCAGAACAAAATATAACTTCAAAACTTACAGATATTACTAAAGGAAAGTTTATAATACAATATTATGTCAAAACTGGCGTACTGTCAATATTTGACGGAGAGAAGTCAGTTCAAGAACAACTTACTGACCTGCTGCCAAATCTGCTCGATGGAAGCTGTCGTTATGCAATCTGAGGAGCCCCAGCAGGTTTCATCGAACGAATCTTCAAAAGAGCATCTTCCGTGAAAAGTGCTATTGGTTTTGTAAACTTCTTTGCTCTCAATTCATCTGGACCGTCTCTGTCACCAGTATATTGTATTTGAACTGTACCAACAGTTGAAATACCACCCATAAAGTCTTCTGAGTCAGCAAATGGAATGCCAAGCCAAAAGTTTGAACGGTCTCCATTTGTATATTGAGTTTTTTGACCTCCTGTATGAGTCCATACTTTCACATATGCATAATAGAACTTTGCATTTCAGGGTTAATGGTTGTTGTGAAGTTGTTTGTTAAAGTTCATAGCATCTAATGTCAAGTTGTATGACCTCATATCTCTCAACTGTAGAATATTCTCTCTTGGATAATATTTGCCATCTATGTTTATATGATATTTAATACCAGGGTTGTAGAAACAAGAATAGTCATTTATAGTTCGTCTGAACAGTACAAACATAGTATCTGCATGTTTCATTGCAGTTGTTAAAGCAATATCTGTTCTTGCACCTTCGGCTCCTGGATTTTGGTTTCCAACTTCACCTGCAAGTCTTTGACAGATATTTGGTGTATAGGGAACATAAGTGAAACTGCAATATATTTGGCAGCTAAAGCATTTGAAAATATCTGGGTCCAACATATAGACTGCAAGTCTGCTTTCTATTCTCTTGCATTCAATTTTTTCGCATGTGAACTTAACTGGGTCCCAAGCATCTCCAGCAGCATTGAAATAATAGTTTACTTCAGTGTTGAGGTTTGAGAAACCAAAGTCTAAGTCAACTTTGTCTTTGCAAAAGTCACAGAACTTGGCTCCACCAGTTCCAGCTACAGTAATGCTGAATGGGTCTTGTGTTGGTGCAATGACTAAGTTATTTTTGCTTGGAGTAAGTTCGATAGAAATTTTTCCTGCCCAGTTTGGCAAGTATCTTAAAAACCTGAAGATGAGGAAAGATGACAAAGGAACTCTAAGTTTCAGTTTTACTTTGGTTACTGCTGCTGCAGTTTGTCCAGAAAGGTTAACATAAACTCCTGGAACGTTAGGGTCAAGTCTTCTTATTTTCTCAATGGTGGCATACTGGTCTGTTTGTTCTCTGGCTTGTGGTTGTACTGAGTTTCTCAAAGCGAACCATTCATAGTTTGCCCATGTTACTGTTTGAACTAAGTCAGAGTTAGAATATATCTTATATCCCATGAAAACTTCTGGAGCATATTGGTATCCGACATAGAAAATTCCATTGCAACCTTTCTTGTCAGACAACTTGGCAGAAGGTTTTATTTCAATGTCTTGTTCCACGTATAAGAATGAGTTGTCAATAGAAATAATATGAAACCTGTCGCAAGCAATATCTACTGTTGTTGAAGAACCTTCTCCAAACTCACCTACGTTTCCATAAGAAACAGCAGTTGTATATTCGTAAGTTCCAGGAACTATTTCTAACCTTCTAATGGCATTGTCGCATTCGTTATACCATTCGGAAACATTTCCGTTCATGGCATCCAAAACTGTTGGCGTTATATTCTGAGCGGCGTACATTTCATATGGGTAAAAATATAGAATAGTTGGATTTATATATCATAATAGAACCCACTCGGACCAAGCTTTACTTTCTTCCTGACTGAGTTTTTAACTCTTCTTTTTCCTTCATTGCCACTACTTTCACTAGATGAAGTTACTTCTTCACTACTTTCACTTTGTTCTACTCTTCTCTTCTTCTTTGGTGTCGCTTTTGGTAACTTGCCCTCTGCTTCAAGTTGTTGCATCTTTGCCTCATGTTCACCTAGTATGTTGTAAATTTCCCATGTCCTTTTTGCCTTTGGGCTCTGGTCGCCCATCTCAGGTAACCTATATCCTAGAAAGATTTTGTCATAGTTTGTATTTGAGTCTTCGCTTATTGTTTGCATGACTCTTTCCTGAGTTTCCTGTTCAAGCTCTTCAAACAGAGCTTGTCCATATGGAATAAGCTCGTTTCCAAATATATGTTTTTGTAGCCATTCTGGTTTTCTTTCCATGTTACCAATAATATCTTTTGTGAATGGGAAAGCTTTTACCAATGTTTCAGTCTTGCGTCATTTATTTCTGTAGTTGGTTTTATTTTGTCAAGGAACATGTTTTCAATACTAACATTTCATTTGGTACTGTCCATTTGAGTTTTCTTAAATATTCATCCCTTCTCAGTTCATTGTCTGCAAAGTAAGTTTTTATGACATTTTGCAAACTTTCGTTTGCAAGGTCATGTACAATAGGTTCTCTTCCTTCTCTCTCCCTAACTTTCTTTCTAAACTCTTCACCAAATATACCATCTCTATGGTTCTGTGTAGTTCTTTGAGATAAATGTTCTAGAACGTCAGGTGTTATATTTCCTTCAGCCATGTTCATTTCATACTGGTCCAAAATATCTGCATGTTTCATATCTTTCAATGGCATTAAAGCCGCGCTGAAAATACCAGCTATATCTGGTTCACCATTCACTTCCATTGCGTCTACAACTTCTTGGAATTGAGGTTGTAAGTTTATGAACCACCTATCCGGATTAGCTTTATGACCCCATTTCATTGTAGTTCCATAGTCTGCAGAACAAAAGTAGGTTTGTTTCCATATTGGTTAGGTTCTGAATGAACTTTAAACAATGTTTCATTTCTATATGTTTTGTTGAAATTTAACCTTTTATTTTCACCGAGTTCAGCCAAAGATTGAACGTTATATGGTCGTAAGTAAAAAGGATTATTGTATTTGCGTACATTTCTTTCAGTACTTCCATTCTATGCTGAATATTTTCATCTGATGTTGGAGTCTTTTGTATGTCGGCGAACATTTTTCGATATTCTTCTACTATGTCGGCCGAATTTTTCTTAGACTCTTGGAAAGATTCCATATTCTCCGCATACACTTGTTGAGGGTCAAGATTTTTCGGCTGTTCCAAATCTTCATCTAGTTCTGTGAAGTTAGTTTCCAAAGGAGGGACTTGTTCGTTTCCTTCAGGCTCTTCTAGCTGTTGTTGCTGAACTATTTCTTCCATGTCTGGTTGTATCTGAACTTCTTCCTGTTGAGTTTCTTGTACCTCATCTGGTGGCATTTCATATATTCCGAGACCGTTTTTAACAAGTTCCCTATCTAAGTCATCCGGACTCATAAACCTTTCTTCTTTCGTTCCGTCTCTATTTTTACGCGTTTCATGAAGAGAGTTGAATTATCATTTAGCTCTGACACCAAATATCTCGGAGTAGATTCATTCATGTCATTTGGATGATATGCTATTAAATCATATCCCTTAGCGAGCTTGTATTTTCCAGGTTTGAGATTATATCCCATTTGATGCTGAACCATAAAGCTAAATAGGTTCGGGTCAGTATTTCCTTCCTTGAACTTTCTAATAGCTTCTTTATATCTGTCACTAAAGTCAAGAGTATCTGGGTAACCATAATCTTCCTTAAGCATTTTTAAGAATTCTTGGTTTCCTTTTTCTCTACTTCTTTTATGTCCTTGCTCTGTTTGTGGTTGTTGTTGTGCAGGGTTTTGAACTGTTGGTTGCTGTGCTGGTTGTGGAGGTGGTTGTTGTGCTGGATTTTGAACTGTTGGTTGCTGTGCAGGGTTTTGAACTGTTGGTTGCTGTGCTGGATTTTGAACTGTTGGTTTTGGTTGTTGTTGTGGTGCTGGATTTTGAACTGTTGGTTGTTGTGTTGGATTTTGAACTGTTGGTTTTGGTTGTTGTTGTGGTGCTGGATTTTGAACTGTTAGTTGTTGTGTTGGTTTTGGTGCATGCCTATGTCTGTGTCCATGTGACGATGTAAATGTTTTAGGTAGTCCTGGTGCAGGTGCTTCTCTTGGAGGGTTTGGTGGTATATAAGTTCCACCAGCTGGCACATATGTTCCATCTGCAGCATAATGTCCTACCTGACTTTTCGTTTTTAAGAAAGCATTTACTAGGTCTGTTTTGGTCTGTTGTAACTCTTTTTCTTGACTTTCCACAACAGTTGCTCTAACGGCGTCATAGGCACTTTGAACTGCCTGTCTCGTTGCTGCATCTGTTATTTTCGTCATATTTTGTGCTACTTCTCTTAACTCTTTGTCGAAACCTTCAGACTTCAGTTTCTTTCCAGATGAGAAGTCGTTCACTAGTTTCACCTTACTATGAAGAGCTTCGAAGGCATTCTTAAAGTCAGCATTCATTTAAGCTTCATTTGAACTGTCTTCATCCGCTTGTATTTTTGTCCTTATTGACCCTATAAGTTGGGCTGCTTTAGCGTTGGCTTGGGCATCTAACCAGTCATTATTAGTTTTTATATATTCTGCGCTTTTCATTGCCTTTTGCATGGCTGCGTCGTTATTTTTACTTTCTTGTGCTAAGTTTTCATACTGTACGGTTTGGTTTTGCAACTGTAAAAGTTTTTCTGCCTTTACATTTGCTTCAACTTCTTTTTTATACTCATCGCTATCCATATGTGTCTTCATGGCTTTTTGTTTTATCTCTTCATCTTTCAGTACTTTATATTGAGTAGTATGGTTTTTCAAATTTATAACATCTTGTTCCATTTTTGCTACTTCTGCTGCTTTTTCTGACACTTTTTTCGCATATTCCTCTGTACTTAGTTCTTTCAGTTGTTCTTCTTTCTTCTTTTTCTCTACGTTTAACTCATTGAGTTTCTTTGTGTGTCTGTCATATTCTAGTTTCTTTTCGTTTTCACTTATTTGTTTCTGTATGTCTATGTTTGACTTTTTGACATCTGTTATTTGATTTTTGAGTGAACTCAAATTCATTTGACTTTGAGGGTTATAAGCTGTTCCGTCTGCAGCTCCACCATAGCCTGCCATTTTCGCTAAAAGTGCTGCTCTTAAACCTCCACTCTGTGCACCAATAACTCGGTTTAAAAGCATAGGGTTGCTTGACATTTGTTGCAACATAGTGGGGTCATTCATCATTTGTTGTTGCAACTGTTGTTGTGGTGTCAGTTTTACTATTGGATGTTTCAATGCTCCCTTCCTCTTACGCATATTCTTACGTAGCTTACGTGGCATTTTAAGTGAAGTTAAAAAACGGTTTTTGACAGATGTTGATATGACACTTTTTGTTCAGCACAAAAAACTACTCGGTCAAAGTGTTGTCAGTTTTGTAAAATAACCGTCCTATCTCATTCTATAATGGGAAAAAGGCTTCTCAAAGTATACTTCCTTGGAACGCCTGTAACTTTTCCTGTAGCGACGATAGACCCTTACTTGTCCGGACAAAGTTATACTATTTTGAGTGCTCGACAAAAAAGTCAACGGCGACGACTCTCAAAAACCGTTGTGTAAAAAGTTTTACCGTTGGACAAAAAAGTATATATAGAAAACAAAAAACGTTTATAGTTCATTCAATATTTGAGATAAACCGTTTTTCCCACGGTAACTATTAAATAAAATAAAAAAATAGAGGGGGTCTCCGTTGACGAAAACGGTTTATCTCAAACTTTTCTATGAGTGGTCCGAAAAAACAGTTCATTTTTCATAATGGAAGGAAGAAAAAATGTCGCAAACAATTCGTCGACTACCTCTGCAGTTAAAGTTCCTACAACTTATGTCTCACCATTCTCAAAACCCTTACGACCTCCTATAATACCAAAGCAACTTCCTCATACAATTGCAAACAAATTGTTGGACAATATGCATTTGCACAAAGAAACAGCTCAGCCAACAGGTCAGGCAACAACAACTATCGGAACAGAAGCATTTTCAGAAGAAGTTCATACCAATCAGACTCCAATCGAACATACAGAAACACAACCACCCGAAAATACAGAAACACATCCAATCGAACATACAGAAACACATTCTGCAATGACCACTAGGTCGCAAACACGATATCTCGCCTTTAGCAAACAATTTAAGTCTCAAATTCAAGACACACAAGATAGCGACACTCCTCTTTCAGAGAAAGTTCGTAGAAAATACGCAAAGAAAAGGTTAGAATTGTTAGATAAGTTAAATGAACAGTGGGGTTCAGAAGACAATCGAGATTATAACGAGATGTTTCAAGCTGTCATGGATGCCATTCAGCCTCTTGAAAACGAAATCAAAGACCCTGGCGTACTTGTTGACATGTTTGCTTCATATTTACCCGTTACTGCCAATCTCATAGCGTTGCAAGCTATTGACCAGTTCATTCACTTGTTTCCAAAGAACTTGCAGAAGCATTTACAAGAAGTTAAAATTGCTGAATTTGTCCGTTTATATCCAAATTCATACAATTATTTGGAAGAATTGAATGAACATGGTGAAAGGTCATTCTATTTATATTTCTACACAAAAGACAACCAGTCAAAACGACTATACTGCATTGAACCTATGCCTCAATTCTTAGACAATTTCCACGTTATAACAACTGTTGCTTTAGATATTCCTGCCAGAGTTCCATATGGAGGAACAGTAACTATCTCAAGCTTTCCCAAGGGCTATAAAGGAAAGCCTCTCACACATTGCAAAATTCACACACAGCAGTTGCCAATTTGTTCAAGATGTCGAGTTCCATTTCCTCAACAATACGACTTTCATCATAGAGACTCCTCAAGAAGGTATATACAAAGTTTTCATCGCAGGATTTGTTGCTCCCAATGGCGAAGAAGAAGTCGAAGAAATCCTCACCTCAGAGAGCGAAGAAGAAGAAGTCGAAGAAATCCTCACCTCAGAGAGTGAAGAAGAAGAAAATTTCCAAGACATTCAAGATTCAGAATATACCGAATAAAAAAAAACAATTTAAGACTAAAAATTTAATTTTATTATAATATTTTTATTTTTTTCATCTGGTCTTTGTATCATTCCTCCTCTAGTTTCTCCGGGGCTAGAGGGCGCAACGCGCCTGGAAGCCCCACTCACCTACCTAATATAACGGGTGATGATATGGGTTATTATTATCCATATTATAAAAATGAAATTTTGAAATATCATGATAAAATAATTTCTAAAATTAAAGACAAAATTAAAAATAATGAATATACAAAGGGAAAAACTAAATCACAACTTAAACAGTTGAAAGATTTCAAAAATAAAGTATTAACAGAAGAAGATATTGATGAATTATATAAATTATATAATCCTGAGCCGCAAAAACCAAAGGAACAAAAACAAAAGGTGCAAAACGCCCAGGTCCTTCAGACCATAAATGAAGCACAAGCTTTAATTTATGATTCATTAGTTAAATCATATTCAGCCGACTTTTAAATGAAGATCAACTTTTGGAATTCATCCTTCAACATAAACTCGAAGCGGGAAAGTATATCAAACCTTTATATACAGCATATTTTAAAACAAATGAATAGAATACATCCAGAATTAATGAAAGGAGAATGAAATCCAAAACTTCATCATCCAAAATCAAAGCAGATAAAATTAAACCACTTGCAACACCAAAACCTCCAACGGTAGTACCTCCTCCTTCAGTTAATCCTTCATCATTCACTTTATTATATCCATTTCAAACATTAAAGAAGCAAAAGATTTTAAAAAGGATTTCAAGATATTAAATAAACCAATTGACCCGAAAATTCAACCGTTAAAGGAAAAATTTAGTCGCCCTTCATTTGCTCCATATCCATATTCATACGAAATCGATCATCTGGAATATTCAAAAGGAAACGTTACTTATTTATTTGCCATTAACATTAACACTAGATATTTATATTGCATTCCAGTGAAAGGGAAAAACAGAACAGGAAACAAGAAGAGCTATTCAATACTTACTAGATCATGAAAGAGTAGATAATATCAGGGGCGATGGTGATAAAGGATTTCAGGCAGCTATGGCTCATTATTTCCCACAAATTAATTTTTTCTTTTCATCCTCTCCATATACGTTTCATAATAAAATAGTTGATGCGGTAATGAGAACTCTTAGAGTTGCGTTAGGGGTTAACGGTCAGATATACTGGGATGGAAATCATGACTCCATCATACAGCAGTTAGTATATTATTACAATAATACATGGCATAGAATTATAAACATGAAACCAGTGGAAATGAAAAATGATATTTCAAAAGAATGGGAATATATTAGAAAGCAAATGAAAGGTTAAATGATGTTAAACGTGAAAAATTAATTCGGGGCTCATGAATTTTAAACAAGGGGATAAAGTTTTGATTCATCTCGATTATGGAAAAACTGATAAATCAATGACAAAAAGAAACGAAGATTTGACACAATAGCTGAATTTGTTAGATATATTAACGGCAATGCATTAGTTGAAGTTGACAATAAATTAATAGAAAATCCGATTTATTTTATTACTCCATTATATTTAAATAATATTTAATTTTTTTATTTCGTAAGAAATGAGTGACAACGAAGCATCCAAGAGTCCAGACGATGAATATAAAAAGAAACTAAACAGAATTAAATCAAAAATATGCTATTACAAAAAGAAGTCGCAATGCGGCGGGGCTGATGCCCATAAAACTAAAGTAATTGAAACGATAAAAGAGGAAAGAAATAATCGAAAAATTAGAAACTTACCGTTCAATCCTTAAACTGAGTGAAGCAAAAATAAAAAAATTTAATAGAATAAATAAATTGATTGGAAGAGATGAATTTAATAAAGATGAATTTTTAAACTCTATCCAAATTTAATTTTTATTCCTCTTCGACAACGTCTCTTCGAGACGCCGAACCCTTCTGGGTTCTCTTTCCATCATTACTGCATAACCGCATCTTCTCGGTTTTCGTGGTTTGTTGTTTTTAATTCGTTCTTGCATCATTTTTATTATTTCCTCCCTTGTTATGATTCGTGGTAAATTTTGAGCTTGTGGGGTATCCATTTATATAGGGTGTCCAAAGGTGTGTTTAGCACAAACCTGAATACTGCGAATAGAAATAAACAAGTTACATATATATAAAGTTTATTTAAATATAATCACCATTGGATTCAATCACGCGTTCGCAGCGATCGATCCAGGCTTGAAAGACACGCTTTAAATCATCATGAGAAAATTGCTCAAATTGCTCTCTTACAAAATTTTCAAGATCATCTGGACTCGCGAATTCGCGTCCTTCAGCTCTCTTTTTTAGCGTGCCGAATAAATAAAAGTCAGAGGTGCAATATCAGGTGAATAAATTGGGTTTGGAACAACTTTGACATTGTTTTCCACCAAGTAATTCATTACCTTATGACTTTTGTGAACTCTTGAATTATCAAAAATGAATTGCAAACTTTTGTTTTTGTTGTTTGGATTTCTCAAACTCATCAGAATTGATAATTTGAGTAAGAACATTGTCAATTAGATACTGAGCATTCATCGTATTAGGTTTTTGAAGAATATCAATTGCGATGATGCCATTCACGCCCAAAAAACCGACAACATCATCATTGGTGTGTCAATTTTTTTCTTCGGGAATGTTTGCGGATTTTCATCCTTCGGGATCCACATGATTTTGGCTTCTGTTGCATATTGAAACCAAGACTCGTCCCCTGTTACTAAAAAGCGAAACTTCTTGATTGATACGCACCCAATATAGAGAGGAGCTCTTTCGAAGATTGGACTCTAGATTTTTTTTGAACTGAATTAAGGTTGTGCGGAACCCAACGTGTATACGCTAGTTTGTAGTTCAAATAATTGTGCAGATAATAACTGACTGTTGTACGTGGTATCTTTGTCATCTCCTCTATCCTTCTGAGTGATGCTCTTGGGTATTCATCTAGCGCTTGAAGAATTGCTTTGATTTTTCTTTGATCCGGCGATTTTTTGTCAATTTTTATGATGGGCGCCTTTTTGTTCATGAAGTGATACATCCTAACATGATACGTTACAGTGGAATAGCTAGGAGCATCCATACCGAAGCATTTTACCAATGTCTCGTAGATTTTTTTACAGTCTTTGCATTTTTTTGCAAGAGCGAGGATGTTTTCTTTATGATTCATTAAAAAAATGAAAAAAATCCCGCCAAAATTTCCCGCGAAACCGCCTCTTGTCTCAAAATTCATTTTATATCCCGGCATGGCGCCAAAATACAACATACTCATCATATACATATATTCATATTTTTTATTATATATTTATAATCAGCATATATCTCCTTTAATAGTCTCATATAGAGCGCTGTGCTAAACGCACCTTTGGACACCCTATATAAAAATAAAATTTTGTTATCAGTTATTTTATCGTTAATGGTTTTTAGGTTATTCAATAATTAATTATTTTTGAATAACTGAAGGTGTCACTACGTCACCATGTCACCAGGTTAATTAACTTCTCTTAAAATTACTGACAACATGACATTTTGACAACAGGTGCGAAAGGAGGAAGGCATTTATGAATTATTTTTGAATAACTGAAGGTGTCACTACGTCACCATGTCACCAGGTTAATTAACTTCTCTTAAAATTACTGACAACATGACATTTTGACAACAGGTGCGAAAGGAGGAAGGCATTTATGAATTATTTTTGAATAACTGAAGGTGTCACTACGTCACCATGTCACCAGGTTAATTAACTTCTCTTAAAATTACTGACAACATGACATTTTGACAACAGGTGCGAAAGGAGGAAGGCATTTATGAATTATTTTTGAATAACTGAAGGTGTCACTACGTCACCATGTCACCAGGTTAATTAACTTCTCTTAAAATTACTGACAACATGACATTTTGACAACAGGTGCGAAAGGAGGAAGGCATTTATGAATTATTTTTGAATAACTGAAGGTGTCACTACGTCACCATGTCACCAGGTTAATTAACTTCTCTTAAAATTACTGACAACATGACATTTTGACAACACAGTAGGATTAATACAAAAATAAATTCCAATCATACTTTATAAAGCTTCATTTACAGGTATTTCATCGTCAGTAAATGAATCCTCATTATCGTTTGGTTCAACCTGTTTATATAATCCTTTCATTTCTTCTTTCAAAACATAACACCATGTTTGTTTACCATCTATTCTTCTCTGTTTCCTATCACATTTATCCTTAATGCTCATTTGAAAGTTTTTGTCTTTCATGTCTGATGGTTTGCAGAATAGAGCATTTTTACACGTCATACCTGCACACAATTCATCATAATGTGTATTTATCCATACATCTAAAGGATTTGTTGATAATTCTATTAAATCTTGTTTGGCTTCAGTCATCGGAATGATTCGTACATTAAATGATGAAAGGTCATATTGCATAAAATACGTCAGTAAATTATCATAAAATTCCTTTGTGCATGAATCCATTAAATTCTTGAAATAATCAAATTGACCCTTGAATTTACCATTAACTCTTAAAACTACGTATCTTCTGTCTCCAACTTCAATTTTGACAGGGTAGACGTTATTAGTTACCAAAATGAAATTGGCAACATTCTGAGCAGTTCTTCTGGGTTGATTCTTTTCATTAATTCTAATCTCATTATCCGTAATAATTGATTTCAAAGAGTTGAAGTTTGCGAGTCTGTCTTCACCTACATTCTTGAGTTCATTAAGTACAAGAAACATTTTATTCTCAACTACTGAATTGAAATTACCCGTTAGCTCACCTATTTCGGTAATGTTTTTACATGAATAACCGGCGAGAAGTTCAGAAATAATGTCTGTAAATCTGTTTTTACCTGTTCCCTGAAGTCCTTTCAAAATAATTGCTGTTTCATTCTTGATTCCAGGATGTTGAATCATTGATGCAATCCAACCGAGAAGGTATTTATACACTTCATCGTTATTATCACAAATGGCTTCTTTAATGAAATCCATAAACATCTCAATTTTTGAGTAATTTGGTTTTTCGAGAACGTTGTATTTATAACCTTGAAACGTTGAGAAAACATCTGGAGAATCAGATTTAAAGCAAACACCCTTAACGGTTAATGAGGATAATTGATTTAATAGTACGTCCCATGTTGTTATTGTTTTACCTTCTTCTTTAAATAATTTAATCATTTTAAGTGACTCGTTCATGTTTGATTGAAGAACGAATGATATTTGATTCATTCTGTCGTGGATATTGTAATCTTTCTGAATGAAGTATTTATTTCCACAATCTACAAAACGGATTACACGTGATAAATCCTCAATTACTTGAGAACTGTTTTTATACTGATGATTTTCAGCCTTGCGTCTAATATCTGTTATCAAAAACGAGTCATCAAGTTTTATATCAAATGTTATTTTTGGCTTACGTAATAAAGGTAAAACATATTCATCATAATATTCTTTTTGGTATAGTTTTAGAATCTTCACTAAAACAAATGGAGAAGTCATTAAATGTGCATATCTACTACGTGCTTTTTCAAAATTACTTTTTGCATTTTCAGTTAAATTGCAGAAGTTATAAACGTTATCGTATGCTTCATTAATTAAATGATTAGGTAACGAATTAATTGCTTGAAACAGTGTGAATAATGTAACTTCTTTTTCTAAATTCATGTTTCCACCGTCATTATGTACTTCAAAATCACTGATGCCATCAACTATGCTCTGGGCAAGTTTATCGTCAATGTTTACATCTTTGTTTTCATTCATGATACTCTTTATTTCTTCGTTCTTCTGTTCAACTCTTACCTTAATATTCAAATCATTTAATATATCATTCACTGTTCTGGTTATGGTTGAGTCATAACTTCCATGAATGAATGAGTATGTATTGATTGGTTCTGTTGCATTCTTGCGAACTCTTGAATCAGCCATAACTACTAAAGAACGCTTTGAATCATCCATAGAAGTCATGATATCGATATCATAATCATTGCAGGAATAGCATTTAATCATTCTGTTCGAGGTTGAATAGAAGAAATTAGTGTTACAATAAATGTGAAGACCTCCTGAAGCGGTTTTAACGATAACATCTTTATCCGAAAGTTTTGATAGAATGTCTTTTCTAACTGTTTCTTTAAGTTCATCATTGTATGATTTATTGATATCAACATCTATAATCGTTAAATTTGATATTTTATTTACTAATAAAGCCATACCAGTTTTCCTTCCTCTTCCTCCATCATGTTTGAGGTAGTTATGTAAATCAATCTTGTTTTCACCAATTCTTTCGTTGAGGGTTTTAGTTTCTGCCACAACTAATTCCTCAGCTAATGAATCAATAACTTTTTCATCAGAAACGATATAGTTGCTGTTGTTGTTTGTTGCTGTCATTTATATAGGAATAAAAAAATAAAAATAATTTTAAAACTAACTTTATTATTGGACTGCATCAAATTTCCGGGAATGTTGTCAAAATGTCATGTTGTCATCATTTTTAAGAGAAGTTAATTAACCTGGTGACACATGGTGACGTGGTGACACCTTCAGTTATTCAAAAATAATTAATTATTGAATAACCTAAAAACCATTAACGATAAAATTTATTTCCGGGAATGTTGTCAAAATGTCATGTTGTCATCATTTTTAAGAGAAGTTAATTAACCTGGTGACACATGGTGACGTGGTGACACCTTCAGTTATTCAAAAATAATTAATTATTGAATAACCTAAAAACCATTAACGATAAAATTTATTTCCGGGAATGTTGTCAAAATGTCATGTTGTCATCATTTTTAAGAGAAGTTAATTAACCTGGTGACACATGGTGACGTGGTGACACCTTCAGTTATTCAAAAATAATTAATTATTGAATAACCTAAAAACCATTAACGATAAAATTTATTTCCGGGAATGTTGTCAAAATGTCATGTTGTCATCATTTTTAAGAGAAGTTAATTAACCTGGTGACACATGGTGACGTGGTGACACCTTCAGTTATTCAAAAATAATTAATTATTGAATAACCTAAAAACCATTAACGATAAAATTTATTTCCGGGAATGTTGTCAAAATGTCATGTTGTCATCATTTTTAAGAGAAGTTAATTAACCTGGTGACACATGGTGACGTGGTGACACCTTCAGTTATTCAAAAATAATTAATTATTGAATAACCTAAAAACCATTAACGATAAAATTTATTTCCGGGAATGTTGTCAAAATGTCATGTTGTCATCATTTTTAAGAGAAGTTAATTAACCTGGTGACACATGGTGACGTGGTGACACCTTCAGTTATTCAAAAATAATTAATTATTGAATAACCTAAAAACCATTAACGATAAAATTTATTTCCGGGAATGTTGTCAAAATGTCATGTTGTCATCATTTTTAAGAGAAGTTAATTAACCTGGTGACACATGGTGACGTGGTGACACCTTCAGTTATTCAAAAATAATTAATTATTGAATAACCTAAAAACCATTAACGATAAAATTTATTTCTGCAGTTCATCCGCTACTTCATTACCTAATTAATTACAGACATAAAATATATTTAGTTCATTCGGTACCATGCAAATACAGTCACAAATGGTGGCATGTAATCTTTACCCAAGCCTGTTGGATTTGTTGTGAAAGTATGGACATGATTTCCTCCTGGTTCAGTTTGTCGAAAAGTCTTTTTTGTTGAATCGTTATAAGCTGGAGATAAAACATCATAACCAGCTTCATAGTCTGAGTTGTATAATGGGTGGTCTCTTAATGAGTGTCTATGGTCGCCAGAAAAGTTTGTAGTTCCTGTATGAGTGTGCGGAGGTAAGTTTGCTTCTTTAATTTTCTTTGAACCACCGGCTTGTTTTGAACTTTTAGTACAATATAAGAATTTGTCTACAATCTGCTTCCATGTACCAAAACCTAAAACACTTGCTGGATTTGTTGAGTTCATTGATGTATAAATAGAGCCTATAGGATATAATGTTTGAAGTATTTCATTTTTCATGCTTGTAATCACATCATTTACTTCCGACTTCTTTGCATAATTTTCATCTACATAAGTTTTATCTGCTTTAAGGTCTAAACATCCTGAAACCCATCCTGTATCAGCTTTAACTTTAAAAGTCTCCGATGTCCATTTATGATACCATTCAACCTTTTCTTTAATTTCATTATCTTTTTCATCTACATAAACCAAATTTGCCTTCTTCATTAACTCACTATCCACGTATTCCTTATCTACCTTCTTCATTATGTCATTTAGGAAACCTTCTATGAATTCCTCATTTAAATTAAATCTTCCAATCTTCAAAACTTTAGGAAATGCATTTAATGCGTAATATCTCTGTTCTTCTGGTGGAATTGATGTTATATCATCCGTTATTCCTTTAATTTTTGAATTCATAAATAAAATTTCTTTTATATTTGATATCACTGCACCACCTTTGCAAACGAATTCGAAACGGTCATTTTTCAATACTATCTCCAAATCTCCATATTTCAACCTTTGCGTTTGTTCTGCCGCCGTCTTTGAATTATATGCATATATGGCGTATGTAATGGTCTGAAGGACCTGGGTGCTTTGCGCCTTAAGTTGCTGTTGTTTAATCATTTATTACGATTTAAAAATAAATATTTAATCCGTTATCTCATCAGCTATTTCTCTATTTGAAATTGCCATAATATTTCATTCATAAATTCTAAATCACAATCAAATAGGTCAGTTATTCTAAATTTAATATTTGATAAATCTTTTGAATGAAGAATAAATGAATTCCCGGATAATTGAAACGAATATGATAAAGAAAATGTGTTTAAGTTGATGGATAAAATGTTTTGTATTGATGGGTAAGAGTTAGGGTCTAATGTTTGATGTGAAAATCTCATTGGGGTATTAACTTTATCACATTTGATTAAAATGAAATTGGAACCAGTGTCAGAATACAAAACATCCCCAACATCTTTTTCAAAATTTAATATCCCCAACAATGAACGAAGATGAGGAGTACAAAATTTAATTTTCAGCGGGAATTTAATAAGGTTATTTATTTCATCAAGTTCAAAAAGTTTATCGGGTTTTGATTTAAAATTTTCTTCATACCATACGATAAATGATTCATTTAAATAACTTAAAATCGTGTTAATATCCCATTTCGCTATCACATTATTTATATACATATCATACGTTTTTTCATGGTCATCTTTAATAAATGATATATAATCTGAAGGGTCTAAAAGAATGGGATTAAATTTACCACTCACAGAAACGAGAGTAACATTATAAATTCCGCTAACTGTTAAATTTAATTCACAGTTATTATTCGAAATAATATTGATAATTGACATTTTTATTACGATTAAAAATATGGTAAAGCGTTATTTTCTAGTGATAAATAAAACTAGAATAAGATTACCTCAAGAATTCATAAATTCAACGAATAAGAAATTCATTCATGTTATAAATTTTAGTGTTTTCAGAAAATATGAGTCAGTGTCATATTCATCAACAGGTTATATTTCACTTCATTCAAATTTAGTTCAATCAAACCCATATAATGACCATTTCATAAGATTTTCAGATGGTATTAAAAATGTAATTGATAGATTAAAATATGAACAGATTGACAATATCGAATTTTTGGAATTTTGGTTTAAATATCCCGATGGAAAAAAGATTGAAGTTAAAGATAAAGCTGATACTATAACAAAAACAATTACAATGACTGATCCGGATAGTGGGGAACAAAAAGAAATAAAACAAACGATAGAAACTGGTGAAAGGTCAATTATTATTGATTATGATTCAAAGGATTATTATTCGATAATGTTAATGCTTGAATATTAAATAGCCTTAACAAAGAATTTTTCAAGTGATATTTTATATTCATCAACTATTTTATTATAAATATCATTATATGTTAAATGAAGTTCAGTTGTTGTTCCGTTCTTTGATATCTTAATTGTGCAAATATCCTTTATAGGATTTATTTTTGCAACTGTTCCGCAGCATGAAACCTCATCATCTATGAAAAATTGAATCTTAACGTCTGAATCTTGAACATCACAAAGAATGGCGATAATGTGAATTAATAATTCATAAGGTAAAATAATTAAACCGGATTGGTCAATTAAATTTATTATTGAATCATAATTATTAATTATTATATCACGGTAAATTTTCATTAATTCAGAATTAATGTCTATTTTATATGGGTTATCAAGTGGTGCTGGGTATGTTGGATAAGTGGGAATTTCAACAGGTTCTTTACCGGGTTCAGATAAAATGATTGGGTCCCCATCTTCTTTATTTTGCTCATCCTCCTTTTTCGGTAAGTCACGAGTTAATAAATTTGGTTGAGTTGCTGACCTTGTTAATTCAGGGCTAACATTAACTTTAACATTTTGAATAATTCGTGATTTATCATCATTTACGTTATAACCAACCGTAATCTCTGCTTTTGCGTTAGTGTTCTTTTGACTAGTGAAACGTCTTCTCATTTATATTCGAATAAAAAATATATTTAAACTTTTATTTTGCTGGAAGTTTTGAATCTATTATTCCCTGTATTTGTTCATGAAGTTGATTTTTAGCTGATTCATTGTAATTAATAGACCTAATATATTCATTAATTGCATTCTTATAATCATCTGATTTCTCAAATTTTCTTTTATCTGATTCCTTAACTAAATCATAAGTTAAACCTCGTTGCTGATATAATGGTTTCTTAATTAAATCTTTGAATGCTTGAGATAAAGCACCTGATGCAATTCTTGCTACTATAATTGGTTGGAATTGCTGTTTAAGTTCATCTTTAACATTTGCGAAAACTGGATCGAATAAAGCAACTTTAAAGAATTTCTTAGCTGAAATTTCAGGTCTAATATTTGCATATTGACCATCAAACTGGTTAGAATATCGTGGTAATCCATCCGGTCCCTCTTCAATAGCATTTAATTCTTCATTGAAATAAGAATATGGATTATAACGGTATGAATTAATTGGACCATTTTCACCTTCTCCAATGTATTGTTTAACAGCTTTTCCATTTTCATCAAATTGCATAGGATAACGTTCATTATATGCTTTACGTTTAGGATAATCAGTTATAGTTAATTTGTAACCATTTATGACTTTAATATTACCTTGACCATCAGTAATGAAAACTTCATTTATACCATCAGGTTTTCCATTTGGACCCGTAATGTCTGCTTCGTGTGCTTCCCAATTTGGACCTTGACGTTTGGCATATGCTTGAGCTTCTGGTAATGTTAAAACGTTTCTCATTTGTTTAACATCTTTTTGAAGACCAGCAACAATATGAACTAATTCTTTCATTCCATCAGGAACTTTCATAGTTCTATTATATGCACCCTTTTTGTTTGTCCCTTGTTTTAATGGAACCTGTAGAAGATTTGCTATTTCTGTCATGTTTAATTATAAATAAAAAAAAAAATTAATTATAAAAAGTTAATCAAATTTAACACCTCCTTTATTTAAATCAACTATTATTTTCCATGTTCACCTAATTGCTGATATTGTGTGTAAAGTTCATTAATGCTCATTGGTAAATTCACTTGATAAAGCATAACGTTCAACTGTTGACGACTAAACCCACTGAAAATGAAAAGGGTTGATAGATTTGATTTAATGTTTGTGCTTAATGCTTTGAAGTATTGAACAGCCATAAAGAATGAACACTGAATGTGTCGACATTGAGTTAATAACTGATTAAAATATGATTTCTCATTTGTTATTAGTTTTGATTTCACTGCATCATCTAGAAAAATGAGTGAATGCAAAAATTCTCTATCAAAATTTGAAATAGAAAGTGTTTCAAATAATTCATCCCGTTGTTTATCAATAATTTTATCCTCTAATCCTTGCTTCTTGATTGTATTATATAATTCTTTATACATTAAAAAGTTTTTTAAATAATCTTCTGCTTCTTCTGTGATAAATAAATAATTGGAATTTTGATTAAATGCTTTAAAGATTCAAATGTATCATCTGAAGGTGAACCTGAACGGTTGATATAAATTAACACATGTGAATAGGGGGAAGTGTTAGCAATAATGATAATTTGTTTTAATATCGTTAATGTTTTACCTTTATTTTGTTTACCAATTGCTGCAGTGATTGAATTTAAGTAACATTCAGAATATGGAATTTTCATTAATTTTTCCTTAGATAGAGCATTTCTATTATCACTCAATGCTTCATTAATCATATCATCTACGTATGTATTATATACTCCTGCTAATTCTTCATAAGGGGTGGATGAATTTAAATCCATTTAATCAAAAATAAATTTATAATTTTAAACATTTCTATTCATCAATATTTCATCATATGAACTTCTATACTGTGGTGGTGTACCTGTTGGATGATATTTCAAACCTTCATCCGGTGTCCATGTCCAACATGTAGTCCTAGTAAACCAAACCTCAGGAGGATTTGTCACCTTTGAACAGTAAGTGTCATTTTCACCCTGAATGATTGGATAAGCTTTCACTTGTACTGTAACTTGTGAGTTGAAAGTTTCTAATCCATCAAAGAATATACCCGCTCCATCACGTTGAACTGGAATAGTGCATAAGAATGAAGTTTGGTCTTTCCATGTTCTAGCTAATGGCGTGCCATCATCTGCATTCAATGGTCTAGTTAATGAGTCCTCGTATTCTTCTGTGCATTCATTCACTCCATCTAAATCAGAAGCTTGAAGCATACGTGTAAAGAATATGTCACCCACTGTGGTCATCGCTTGATCGGGGAAGTTTCTGGAATCTATAGTGACCTGAAGACCTCGAAGCATTGGATTTTCTAAAACTGTTCTTTGCATTGCATTCTTCGGAAATGCTAACACAACATCTGTAACATTATGAAGAGCGTATGAGAAATCTGAGCTGATACCTTCAGGAGTGATGCAACCTCCATTTAGTGAACGAACGTCAATATGTTGAGCTGGAATCATGAATGGATCTTCCTTACTAAATAAACGTGGTATTGCTTTAACTGATTCTTCAATTAAACCGTATCCTGGTGTAATGCATTTATCCTCTAAAACTTCCATCTTTGTGCATGAAATAATAACGTCATCAACTGTTGCCTCAGCAGATGTAGCGGCTAAGCTTGTAATTAATTTGGCAGGAAGTCCGATTTGTTGGAATTTGCGATCATATTTATAAACATGATTCATAATCTTTTCATAATTTCATCAGTTATCTTTTCATATACGTAATTTTGTAAATCAGCAACTCTTAACGGGTCAACCTGACAAAATACTAAAGTATCCCTGAAAACATAATATTTAAGAATGATATCACCAAATGATTTAGGATAATCATCGAACGCCTGAAATGCTAACAAATCATTTACCGGAATAATCATATCAAAAGTGACATCAACTTCTTCATTTGCTTTCTTGAAAACTTCTGAAGGGTCAATATATTTACCACATACTGAGTTATCATATTTTGAACATTATTATATAACGAATGAACAAACTTTTTAACTTTCCTTTCTGATTTTGGTTTATATGTTGCAAATGCGAAAGATTCACGGGCGCAATCCATCTGAAGATAACCGGCATCACCTCTTTCGGTTTCTACTTCTAATTGTTTAAAGCTTTGATTTGATGATTTGTAACCAACGAATAAACGCATGCATTTAAAAGCGGCATCACATGTGAAAGCTTTATTTGAAACTAGAGTTGCTTTAACTTTGCGTTTAATATATGTGTCACCTAATTGGTTCACATCATGAGCTGGATTTGTAATTCTTAAATGAGTTTGTTTATCATCAAAATATGGAGTATCAGAGTCATAGCATGAACTTTCAAGTTCTCTATAATATCTTCTACCATCATTCTTCGCGAATATTTCATTTATCTTTTCGAATGAATGAAACACATTTCCATTAATCGGTTTAGTGTTTGGCACCAAATAGTTAGTCGTCATTTATTAATAAATAAAAAATCAAAATTAAAAGATGAAAATGAATTTTTAATTTTAATGAAATAATCAACTATGGCTGCAGGTATATTTAAGAAACTGTGGGATAAAGTAAAAAGAGGAGCGAGTAAAGTTTGGGAAACATTGAAGAAGGGGGCAAATTGGATATTTAAGAATAAAGAAGCAATTAGTGACGTTGCTGAATCAATAACACCAAAAGCTGCCCCAATAAGAGAAGTTTTAAATAAAGGAGAAAAAGTTTATCAAAGACTACAACCGATACTAAGATAAAAATAATATTTATTTATTTTTCCACTATCTACCTCCTATTTTATTAAGTATTCCTTCAGCAATTCCACCAACTGCGTTACCTGCTTGTGCTCCCATCGCCGGATTACCTGCTTTAGTACCTAATACTCCACCTATGATAGTTCCTGCCGTTTTCGCTACTGGTGCCAAAAAGTTTGCAATGGGTTTAATAATCTTTTTATGAACCCAACCCGCAGCTTTCTTAATTCCATCCCATAATTTTTTAAAGAATCCTGCCGCCATTTCTGATTTAATATTAATTAAAAATTCATTTTCATCTTTTAATTCTAATTTTTATTTAATGATAAATGAAACCGATTTTAAAAATAAATGAAAGTGAAAATGTTCAACAAAAAATAAACGTTGTTAAACCAATTACTGAAATAAAAATTTTTTCATCTGTTGAAGAATTTAATGACTATTATGCTAATAATAAAAAATTATTTGAAGAATTGACAACGTGTAAATTGAATAAAATGTTTAAAGTTGATGGATTCAAAATTTCAAAAATAAAAGGAGTGATTAGTTTGAAATCTATTCCTCAATCAAGAATCACCTCATTAATGAAAATAGATGATTTAACAAAAAGAATAGAAGAGATTGAAGAAAGAATGAATCAAATAATTGATTTCATAAATTCACAATCTTCATTTTTAAATTGAAGTTTAACCCATTCGGGATTTAAACAATGTTTAATTAATCGCGGAATATCTGACATCATCTATATATAACTTCTTTTAAAATTAATGTTAATTTTTTAATGATTTATTTCATTATGTATGGGCTGAGTGTAAATGTCTTACAATTTTGAAAATTTTTTAAATCTTGATTTATTCAAAAACGTAAGAATAAAAACCGTAAGAATCATACATTTTTTACTTCATATGTTAAAAAAAATGATACAAAAATTGCTCGATATTGCATGAATTCTTACGGTTACAAAAAACGTCACTAAACCCTTCATCATATACTACTGTTTGGAAACATATGATATTCAAAATGAAAATAGTGCATATATTTAAATATAATCCATAGATCGTTGTTAATACAAAATAAATCATATTAATATCAAAAATTAAATAATTTATTTAGGAAAAAACAGAAAGAATAGTTATTGATAGAGGAATTTTACTAGCAATATACTTTAAACAAAATATATTTAACAATTTACAAATAACAAATTCAATCATTTTCAGGATCAATTATTTTGGTGTCCATATATCCATTATCTTCATGTGGTTCCTCAAAATCGTTTTTGAATGGATCTGATGAAGTAGCAACAACTGAAGTTGTGAACAGTGGATTATCATAAGTTACTGTTGTTGTGTCAGTAATCACTTCTGCATCTTCATTGTGAAACGGTTCTTCAGAATAGAAATCTGATGAAGTTTCATCTTTGTTATGTCTCTTATAAAGGTAAATACCAAGTATTATCAATGCCAGAAGGATTAAACCACACGGAACGACAACAACTATCCAGTTAAATTTGGAATCATTGATCTTCTGAGAATTCTTGTCTGTGAGATTATATGAGCCATTATTTCCGTTTGGAGAGACTGATGTAGGAGATTCAAATGAAGCTGTTTGCGTTTGAAGTGTTTTCTCAGTTGATGGATGCTGTTCTGGAGTTGTGATTGCTGGGTTTTGCTCAGGAGATGATGGTATTGGATTTTGTTCGGGAGTTGTAACGATAATTTCTGTTGGTGGATAGTAGTGTGGTAATTCGGCATAGCATTCATATGTTGTATAGTGCTCAAGCTTCTCATGCTCATCTTTAGTCAAAGTAATCTTTTCACCAATGAATGTAATGCGCTGGTAAAGAAGGAAGTTTGTGTAAGAATGTGAATCTGCGGCACAATCTTCAATCTTTAATGTTCCATAAGTGTTATGAGCTTGATAAGTTGTGGATCTTCTTACTGTATTACCAAAAATATAGAAACCAATTATGTGAACGTATGATGAAGCTCTTGCAGGATCAGCGTTTCCAGAAATGATAAGTGAGTATGTGTCTACATCGTTATATAAAACATTGCACTTTCTGCAAACAATAGGGTACTTGAAATGGTAAAAGTAGATAATTGATTGTGGACTTGTATTTCTTTCAATTGTATTGAAAGAAAACTCACAGTTTTCAAAGTCTGAAGTTATGTAAATGATTCCGTATGTTCCAGATATGGCTCTGTAGTTATATGACTCAGCACTGGAGATATTGCATTGAGTAACCGATAAGAAGTTAGTTAATGATAAGGGCTCATTAGATTTGCCACACTTGGCTGATGACAGAAATGAAACGTTGTATGGCTGATTTACTTTGATGTAGGCAATGGATCCTGTTTGGTCTCCTCCAACATTGCATTTTATAATACAATTGAACATTAAACGCAAGTTGAAGTCACCTACCAAATGCAATCCGCCGCCCAAAGAACCGAAGCAGTTTTCAAAAGTGCATCCATGTATAGTAACAGTCTTACTACTATCTCCCCCATCGAAATGAACAGGTGATGCACCTTCTTTGTCTCCGAGTTCATGAAATTGGCAGTTGAAAACGTCATACTCAGAGTCGGAGAATCCACTACCTTGAAAGCTAACAGAGGCTGTCTGATAGCCGGTGAAATCGACTGAAGCCGCTAGTGTTAGGAGTTGAAACATTTAGAATAATGACTTTAATTGTTTTTCTAAGAAAATTCCGATTGGCTATGACGCCATTATAAGTAATAATAGATTTCTTACTTTAAATAATATATTTTTGAATTGTATACCATACATTATATATAATATTCATTAATAATTTCGTGTTATACAATTTATTCGTTTGTTTCAAAATTCAAAGTATTCAATATCTCAAATTTATAAATTGAAATAGTTTCTCAATTCTTCGTACAAATTAGAAATCTTGATTAACAATCCAGGAAGCATGATAATACTTTGCCAGTTCTTATAAAATAGGTTTAAAATAAGCATAGAAAGAATATCTATCAAAATGGCCTGTTAATGGTATGACCCAATTTTACGTCATACTGAAAAATATAATTGAAAATTTTGTAAAGGGTATGCCCTCAAAAAAATAGAATTCTTCTTCTAAAGCAAAACTTAATGGCAATAGAAAATGTCACTGATAGAAATACAGGAAAAATATATCCCAAAATAGAATTTAAATTTTTCATAAAGAATTATTATATTTTTAATGGATTTCATCGTTTAAAGTACTTCTTTTATACAAAACCATGACTGACATTGGCTACCCTTCAACAATATTTGATATTGAATTTATATTCAAAATTTTAACTCAAATACCATAAACACAAATCCAATACATTAGTGCAAGTTGCTCAAAGCATATCTTTTATATTTTTGGTAATTTTTCCTTAAATTTTATTCTTATCTTTCAGAAACCTTGACAGTTGAGATACATCATTATTCTCACGGAATGCAAAACTCTTTCATAAGGATTTGCCGCAAAACCAATAAGATAAAATCGTTATTGCTTCACAAAATAATGAAATATTTTGTGATAATGTACGTTTAAATAAAAATATTATTGTATAAATGTCAAGCACCTAATTTTGATATAAATTCTATACATGGCACGATGGGCGCTACTTTTTTGGCGCCAGCTAGGGTTGTTAAAAATATCAAAAATTAGCGTTTTGAAGACACCATGGTGTCTTATAATTTTCCCTTCCTTATTGGCGTGTAGAAATAAATGCGCCAATAGATTGAAGAAGAAGAATTGTTTTTCTCTTAATGAACTTTAATCCTTTTGATATAAGAATATTAAAAACATTAATATAATTTCGATTTCGGAAATTCAATTTCCAAATTTTTTGTCGATTTCGGAAATAACAGGATCCCGCATCCAACACGCAACAACAAAACACAAAACACACTTTTTGGTTCTTTCATCGTTTTAATCGTAATTTATGTAATACATGATTTGGAGAAATTTTACAAAAATAGAACCTATATTATATTCTTTTCAAAGATTCTTGCAAATCATCAAAAATAATTGTATTTTAAAAAACGATCAAATTATCCTTTCATTATTTTAAACTTAAATTAGTTTTTATGATTGGCTAAAGCAATCATATTTATTCATCATTAAATAAACAAAAAAATAATATTTGAGAGTTATTTCAAAAAAAACACATTGAATTTATTAATTTGTCTCAATTTCAGTATTATAAATTTTTATAATTTCAATATTTTGAAATACACTTTTTAATATTTCAATATTTATGATATTTCAATGTATTAAGTGGTCTCAAATTGAGCTTCTCAAATATAAGTTGGCCTATTCAAATAATAAAATTAAATACCCAGATTTGCCTTACTTTTACCACCTCTCTAAAGCTGGGGACACCGCCTATCGTTGGGAGTAGCTATTAAATAGAACCACCAAGGGTATTTTTCGAACTGCCGGTGTAGTGTAGTGCAAACATCCCACATAATGATTCATTATGCCAAGGTTTGATTCCCATTTAACCAATTTTTTCTTTTTTGGATCATGAATTTTTTTTGGGTCACTATAAGATTTGTTTCATGTTCTAAATCTGCTGCATATGTAATCTATTTTTATTTACCTATTTTTTAAAAATCTATTGGATTGCCAAATTTGAATATATTTAAAATCATAAAACTCCAAAAAAACTATAAATATATGTTTTATGCATAGTGCCGATACTCAAATATCAGATTACTTAGATCCATGAATAATATCCGAATTTTTTTTCTTAAAATTAAACTTCAAAACTTCTTGCAATCTTATTCTTAATCAATTGTAAATTTTTAAAACCATTTTTTAAAATAATTTTGCGTAAATTTTATTCTCATGTTGTTTTAATCGAAAATTGATACATTTTCAAAAAAATAATATTGACTTATGAAATTCATTTTTAAGGTGAAATAGTATTGTTTTTATTAAAGTATATGAATAATATATAAAAAATTAATGAATAATATAAGCAGATTTTTAGTTTACAAAACAAATATGAGCAATGCAATTTCAAACTTTTGCTGGCAATTTCGATATTGCTCAAGTTTGTAGTATTTGTGATACCTATAACATCGGCTTAATCAAAATTCGATTTTTCTTATGAGTTATTGAGAAAATTTGATTGCAATGAGAAGGATTTCGACGTTTTTGATAAACTAAGAGCTGAGCTTTAGGGGTTCAGTTCATTTATGGCTGTAGTTTGATGCGTAGATCTCTTTTTTATTGTAAATTCTTTCAGCATGGAGATCGAGAATGAATCTTTTGAGAACTTTATGAGTTTTTACACCCGTAAAGAGGTCCTTCGAGGAAAGATAGTCCAGACTACATGAAGATGTGGGTTAACCAAAAAAATCCGATGGTTTCCCCATATTCATGTAGATCTTCGAAAAAATGAGCACCAAAAAAGCCAAAAAATAGGCTTTTTATTGGATTTGTACACTAGATCAATAATCTATTTAGGATCTGACACTCTTTTAGCCAGAGATATGAGGTCCTTTCTAGGAAAACGATCTATTCATCCATAAAAAAATGAATTATCGTTTTCCCCAGAAATTACATGGGGAGTGGTAAAAGTAAGGAAAATCTGGGTAATATTTAAAATAATAAATAAAAGTGATTGAGGTCATAGCAAAACGGCTGTTTGGAGGCAGTTAGGAGCTAGCGGTTGAAGCGATAACATTCACAGCCAACATCTACGGTCAAGCGGCAGCATTCAAGGGCAACATCTACGATCAAGCGGCAGCATTCAAGGGCAACATCTACGATCAAGCAGCAGCAAGGAGCTACGGCAGCAACGAACTACGGCAGCAAGGGGCTACGGCAGGTCAAGCGGCATCATTCAAGGCCAACATCTACAATCAAGCTGCAGCAAGGAACTACGGCAGGTCAAGCGGCATCATTCCAAGCCAACATCTACAATCAAGCAGCATCAAGGGGCTACAGTAGGTCAAGCTGCAGCATGGAGCTACAGCATCAAGGAGCTACGGCAAGTTAAAGATCAGTCAGATCTGGAAATATCTTTTTCAGGATTTCATTTGTCATGAAAAGCTTCAATAGGATTCTACACTTTATTAGATCTTCACGTGCGTTTTGATTAAACCTATTACGCAGGTTCCGCACAATTGAAATCATTCTTTCCACATCAGCTTCGGTTGCAGCAATAGACATGAATTTTAAGGCAATCTCTTTCAATGCCTTGAAATTTGCATCACATGCTACCCAAAACCTTTGATCCAAGCAGGTGAGGTCGGTGTTGTTCCTGATTTCACTCTCATTCATATGTATAAAGTTGGAAAGAGCTTTCTTGTACTCATTAGCTATGTTCTTGGCCGAACTTCTCTTGTAGAACCTCGCTTCTGCTTCTGCACGTCTCGAAAGCATCTCGATCATAAAATCGTTGAAGCTGTACTCTTCCACTTCTTGCATTGACAGAGACGCCCATTCACCAAGGTTCCTGCCTAGTCTCCTCCTTGGTTCATTCTCTTCAACTTCTTCATCCTGAGCAATGTCTTCTGCATCTACTTGGCCATCACCTTCAATTGCTTCGTTCTCAATCTCGGGCTCTTCTATATCTAGATTTCTGTCCAATTGATCCTCTGCCACTTCATCCAAATGATCAGGGGTGTAGCTCCTTGGAGGGATTTCAAGTTCAGCATTGATAGGTATTGGTTCTTGGAAGAAGAGTGAAACGTCTGGCTTGTACTCAGTATGCATGTTCAATTCTGCGCGGATGACTGACCGGCCCCATGGAGTTAGACCAAAGGCAAATTTCATCAAAGCGTAGTTGCCCTGTTTGTCAAAAACTTCATTCATGTTGGCGATTAATGCATCTGCAATGCGCTTTGACGAACTTGATAATTCAGGACGATTTGCAATTCCGGTCAACTGCTCAATCGTCGATTGAAACATTGGATAGATGTAGCAGAAGCAGCCAACGTCACTCTCTGCATAATTCAAGAGTTTCTTGATTGGTAAAAGAATCTCTTCGAAATTTAACAACCATTGTGGAAGGATCTGGGTTTTATCATCGTGAGTTTTTTGGAGGTGTAGGTGGACCATTTGCCGGGGATGCCTTTGGTGATGCTGACAATTTATTAGAGGAAGATAAGAAAAAAATTAGGGGCAAAGGAGCGACAATGTTTAATCCAGGAAATGGAGGTTTTTATGCAGGTACCTATAAAGCGGTTCCATGCAACGGAACGATAGGTTCATATTTGAAAGGAGGCAATGAAATTGCACTTCTTCAGGCTCGGCTGGTGGTGGAGGAAACGGGTTTTACGGCGGCGGAGGTGGTGCAGATCTAGCGGGCGGTGGTGGTGGGAGCAGCTACGCATCACCAGATCTGTTTAACGTTCTATTACTCGGTGGTGATAAAACTTTCAATTCACCGAATGGAACTGTTGTAACCGGCCATACCGGTGATGGGTTCATCCGCATAGAACCATCTGACCCATTTACACTTGTGAAGAACACCGTTGGCTGCAAGTGCTCAAACGAAGGAAATTATTTTGTAATTTATTCTGCGCAGCTTTTCATGATGGCTATGGAATGCTTAATGTTTGCATAGATTGCATCAAAATTATAATAAAAACCTCATGTTACAGTTTGTTTTTCAATTGTCAAATTATTTTTTTCAAAACTATCTACAATTTGAAATTCAACTGCAAAGGATTTCTAAAAATCATTTTAAAATGTTATTTGATGAAATACAATAGAGTTTTATTTTATTCAAAAAAATCGAAATCAAATTCCTGGAAAGAATCATCAATTTGTGGGGGTTTAGATTCACTAGATTTGGTCTTATGCCTTACAGTCCATAGTCTGCATTCAATTATGTTAGTATTTAAAATTGGAATCGCATCTAATAATTCTTTGCATTCACTAGCCATTATTGTATTGGCATTATAGCCCATCACCTTTAAGCCACTATTTATAGATGATCTCCCTTTAAAAATTACTTTTGATAATTGTGGAATATTTAGAGCAATCGAGTTATCGAAAAAGCATATTCCACATACTAAACATCGCTTCCATTTATTTTCAGCATTACCTGCGTTGTCTTCAAAATCTTTGATTTGTTGAAATGCTATCTCAAGAGAAACAACTTTTGTGTTTCTTTTCGATTTTAGTGACGGAGCTGCAAACTCATTTCTCATCGAAACAAAGCATTGTAACTCTGTGTATGATAACAAATCAATGTGTTTGAGCATAATGCTGCATGATATTTTCTTGATGCATTGAAAAGGGAGTTATTCGACCAGAAATCAATTGAAAAAAAAAAGCAAATTTTCTCAGATTGCAAATATTACAATGAACATTAATCGAGAGTTATCGTATGCATGACATTTGAATGATCATCAGCATTAGTTTCGAAATCTTTTCTATAAAATTGAAATGATTTCAACAAAATTGCATGAAAAATAGAGAAATATAATTTCCTGACGGTAAATCAAAAAAAAAAAAAAAAAAAAAAAAAAAAAAGGTAGTGGGGCTTCCAGGGGCTGCGCCCCTTCTAGCCCCGAAGATGTTTAGTATAAAATGAGGTTTTTATTCGGAAAATTGTTAGTCTTCTGGTGTGAATTCGGAGGACTCTTCGTGTTTCTCTTCTTCGTGTTTCTCTTCTTCTTCCTCTTCCATTGCTTCTGGGAAGAAGTCTTCTTCTGGGTCGAAGACATTATATAATGTGTAATTGAATGACACATTATATCTTTCTTTGAGTTCGCTCCTGACAAAGAACTTAGTTCCAGGAATACAGAAGACTTCTGTGCGTTGGAAAAGCTGATGTCCTGGAACAAATTTGGCAATTAGAGACTTCTTTTTTCCGAATTGTTCAGGAGTTTCCATGACGACAGTAACAACATCTCCATCTGCGAGGTCTTGTTGTTGTTCGGAAAGGTAAAGAGCAATGATATAAATGGTTGCTGCGTTGAATTCGAGAAAGTCGAATTCAAATTGTGTAGTCGTATAGCAGTCAAACCATTTTGTACAGTTGTCTCCGAACTCGTCAATGTATTCATCTTGGTCATATCCGTAACTAAAGACTTGGAATTCGGCAATTGTCTTGTCGAATGACCGTTGGATGTTACGAGGAAGATTTTGACGAACTTGGTATAAAGTTCTCAACATTATGAGCTTAGTAAATGTTGGAAAATACTGAACTAAGACATCGCTAAGCTCAATTGGACTTGGAATTGTCTTAGTAAGTTCAATTGAACTAGCAATTGCTTTGTTCAGAACTTCACAGAACTGAGTATTGTATATAGCGTCTGGTTGTGTGTTTTCTTCGGCGTCTTTGAGATATTTAGAGCAAATTTGTTGAAGAATTTCTCTTAATTCGCTGTTAGACTTTTTGGCGGTTATTCTAACAGCTGTGCCAGTTCTTGGAGGTTGTGGGGCTTTGGCTTTGGTTAGCGGTTGAGAATTGTTAATGTTGGCTTCCATTAGACAAAAATAAACTGTTTTTTTCGGACTACTCATAGAAAAGTTTAAAATAAACCGTTTTCGTCAACGGTAACCCCCTCTATTTTTTTATTTTATTTAATAGTTACCGTTGGCAAACCGTTCCATCTCAAATATTGAATGAACTATAAACGTTTTTGTTTTCTATATATACTTTTTTGTCCAACGGTAAAACTTTTTACACAACGGTTTTGAGAGTCGTCGCCGTTGACTTTTTTGTAGAGCACTCAAAATAGTACAGCTTTGTCTGGACAAGTAAGGGTCTATCGTCGCTACAGGAAAAGTTACAGGCGTTCCAAGGAAGTATACTTTGAGAAGACTTTCCCCCTTATAGAATGAGATAGGACGGTTATTTTACAAAACTGACAACACTTTGACCGAGTAGTTTTTTGTGCTGAACAAAAAGTGTCATATAAACATCTGTCAAAAACCGCTTTTTAACTTCACTTAAAATGCCACGTAAGCTACGTAAGAATATACGTAAGAGGAAGAGAGCATTGAAACATCCAATAGTAAGACTGACACCACAACAACAGTTGCAACAACAAATGCTGAATGACCCCACTATGTTGCAACAAATGTCAAGCAATCCTATGCTTTTAAACCGAGTTGTTGGTGCACAGAGTGGAGGTTTAAGAGCGGCACTTTTAGCGAAAATGGCAGGCTATGGTGGAGCTGCAGACGGAACAGCTTATAACCCTCAAAGTCAAATGAATTTGAGTTCACTCAAAAATCAAATAACAGATGTCAAAAAGTCAAACATAGACATACAGAAGCAAATAAGTGAAAACGAAAAGAAACTAGAATATGACAGACACACAAAGAAACTAAATGAGTTAAACGTAGAGAAAAAGAAGAAAGAAGAACAACTGAAAGAACTAAGTACAGAGGAATATGCGAAAAAAGTGTCAGAAAAAGCAGCAGAAGTAGCAAAAATGGAACAAGATGTCATAAATTTGAAAAACCATACTACTCAATATAAAATACTGAAAGATGAAGAGATAAAACAAAAAGCCCTGAAGACATATATGGATAGCGATGAGTATAAAAAAGAAGTTGAAGCAAATGTAAAGGCAGAAAAACTTTTACAGTTGCAAAACCAAACCGTACAGTATGAAAACTTAGCACAAGAAAGTAAAAATAACGACGCGGCTATGCAAAAGGCAATGAAAAGCGCAGAATATATAAAAGCCAACAATGACTGGTTAGATGCCCAAGCCAACGCTAAAGCAGCCCAACTCATAGGGTCAATAAGGACAAAAATACAAGCGGATGAAGATAGTTCAAATGAAGCTTTAACAAATGCTGACTTTAAGAACGCCTTCGAAGCTCTTCATAGTAAGGTGAAACAAGTGAACGACTTCTCATCTGGAAAGAAACTGAAGTCTGAAGGTTTCGACAAAGAGTTAAAAGAAGTAGCACAAAATATGACGAAAATAACAGATGCAGCAACGAGACAGGCAGTTCAAAGTGCCTATGACGCCGTTAGAGCAACTGTTGTGAAAAGTCAAGAAAAAGAGTTACAACAGACCAAAACAGACCTAGTAAATGCTTTCTTAAAAACGAAAAGTCAGGTAGGACATTACGCTGCAGATGGAACATATGTGCCAGCTGGTGGAACTTATATACCAGCTGGTGGAACTTATATACTAGCTAGTGGAACTTATATACCACCAAACCCTCCAAGAGAAGCACCTGCACCAGGACTACCTAAAACATTTACATCGTCACATGGACGCAGACACAGGCATGCACCAAAACCAACACAACAACCAACAGTTCAAAATCCAGCACCACAACCAACAGTTCAAAACACTGCACCACAACCAACAGTTCAAAATCCAGCACCACAACCAACAGTTCAAAACACTGCACAGCAACAACCACAAACAGAGCAAGGACATAAAAGAAGTAGAGAACAAGGAAACCAAGAATTCTTAAAAATGCTTAAGGAAGACTATGGTTACCCAGATACTCTTGACTTTAGTGACAGATATAAAGAAGCTATTAGAAAGTTCAAGGAAGGAAATACTGACCCGAACCTATTTAGCTTTATGGCTCAACACCAAATCGGATATAATTTCAAACCTGGAAAATACAAGCTCGCAAAGGGATATGATTTAATAGCATATCATCCAAATGACATGAACGAATTTACTCCGAGATATTTGGTGTCAGAGCTAAATGATGATTCAACTATCTTCATGAAACGCGTAAAAAATAGAGACGGAACGAAAGAAGAAAGGCTTATGAATGCAGATGACTTAAATAGGGAACTTGTTAAAAACGGTCTCGGAATATATGAAATGCCAGCAGATGAGGTACAAGAAACTCCACAGGAAGAAGTTCAGATACAACCAGACATGGAAGAAATAGTTCAGCAACAACAGCTAGAAGAGCCTGAAGGAAACGAACAAGTCGCTCCTTTGGAAACTAACCTCACAGAACTAGATGAAGATTTGGAACAGCCGAAAAATCTTGACCCTCAACAAGAGTATGCGGAGAATATGGAATATTTCCAAGAGTCTAAAAAAAATTCGGCTGACATAGTAGAAGAATATCGAAAAATGTTTGCCGACATACAAAAGACTCCAACACCA